AGACAGATCCCCAATCAACAAACCCAGAGGGTATTCAGCTAAGCCAAAAGAAACAGCCATGAAAATGATGGAAATTGCAGAAACCCCCACCTCTGCTCACCAAGGGGAAAGAACTCCAGCCTACACCAAAGGGACGGTGGATGCCTCAGATGACAGCTCGGAGGGCGAACCCCTGGTAAGTGGATGCATCACACCCATCTTCAAAACAGTGACTATATTAATCCCCCCCATGCCCGAAGCTGTGAAGGTGAAAGCCTTAATAGACTCTGGCTGCACCCGCTGCCTCATTAGCCCAACACTAGTGGGGAATCTGGGCCTCCCATCCAGGAGACTGGAACAACCAATCTCATTTGGCCAGCTAGATGGATCCATAGCAGGGGGGGGTGCCAGCTACCCTAGCCACTCTGCCAATACACCTCTCCCTGGGCAACCATGAAGAGGACTTAACGTTTATGGTGACCCCATGTATGGAATGCCCAATGATTCTAGGGATGGAATGGTTGAAAAAATGGAACCCCTGGGTAAATTGGAGGACGACAGAAATCAAATTCCCGAAGGGGGACCCTATGGACTTAAAACCCCAAGGGAGGCTACCAGAATCGAAGATATAAAAAGCATCCATATGAGAGTAAAAAAAGTATTAACAGATTAGCCAAGGAATATAGGGACCTTGCTGAAGTCTTCAGTGAGGAGAGGGCGAATGAGTCTTCCCCACATCCGACCCATAAGACGGTACCCTTGAATTCAGCCTGGGCAAAACGCCCGAAGCCCAAGATTTTACTCCATGAGCCCAAAGAAGAAGGAGGAAATGGAAGATTTATAAAAAAAAAAAAGACTTGAGAGAGGGGGTTTCATTTGAGCCAGCCCAATCCTAAAGTGGCTGGCCCCGGTCCTTTTTAGAGAGAAGAAGGATATGCTCTTTACGTTTATGCGTGGATTATAGGGCCCTGAACACAATCAGTGAAAGCAACCTATACCCGCTGCCCCTCATGAAAGACATGCTGTCACACCTATCGAAAGTGAAAATTTTTTCTAAACTAGACTTAAGGGAAGCTTACTATCGAGTAAGAATCAAGGAAGGGGACGAATGGAAGACTGCATTTAACTGCCCCATGGGTTGCTATCAATTCAAAGTCTTGCCATTTGGATTACAAGGGGGCCCTGCAGTCTTTATGCAACTAATCAATGACGTTCTAAGGGAGCACCTGTTTAAGGGGGTCCTTGTTTACTTGGACGACATTCTTATCTTTACCGAAACAAAAGAAGAACACGTCAAACTTGTCAGAGCGGTTTTAAAGAAGCTGCGATCCGCTCACCTATATGCCAAACTCTCAAAATGCGAATTCCACCAGGAAAGGATAGACTACCTAGGCTATCGCATATCCCCACAGGGCATTGAAATGGACCCAGAGAAGGTCAGAGCAGTATTAGAATGGGCACCACCCCGCACAAGAAAGCAACTACAAAGTTTCCTGGGCTTTGCAAATTTTTACCGCCAATTCATCCCCTCATTTGCACAGATAGCCTTGCCCCTCACCAACTTACTAAAAACGAAGGGAACATCCTCAGTAAAACCTAGCCAGCCACTAACATGGACAATGGAGTGCCAAGCAGCGTTTGAGAGACTAAAGAGACTTTTTTCTGCCGAACCAGTACTAAGGCACCCAGATATGGACAAGCCCTTCATAATACAGGCAGATGCAAGTGATGTGGCAGTGGGGGCTGTGCTATTACAAGAAAATGATGATGCAGTATTGCAACCCTGTGCATATACATCTAAGAAACTCACGGAAACAGAACAGCGCTGGCCCGTATGGGAGAAGGAGGCTTATGGGATACGTTGGGCAGTACTCACGTGGCGACAGTTCCTGGAAGGCAACAAAATCCCCTTCCAGGTGTGGACTGATCACAAAAATTTAGAAGCCCTGAAAACTTCCAGGAAACTCAATCCCAAACAAGCCCGCTGGTCCCAGCATTTTCACCAATTCCAATTTAAGCTCAAACATTTACCAGGAAGAAAGAACTTCCTGGCAGATGCACTATCTCGCATGCCCCAATATAACAGCGCACGAACCACAGACTCTAGACCAATAATGGCAGAGTCACAACTGGCAGCGCCAGTAACCACAAGAACCCAAGCCAAAATAAAACCACAACTGGACAGCCAAACTGGGATTGAATTCAGAAAAAGTTTGGAAACAGATGATTGGTTCCAGAAAAACAAACATGTGTGCACAATGAGAGACGGATTGCCTTGGGTAGGGGAAAAGTTATATATACCAACAACTCAAAGACTAACTTTCATGCACCTTTGCCATGACACAAAATCAGCAGGGCATTTTGGATTTGTAAAAACTTTACACTTAATTAAACGGCAATTTTGGTGGCCATCAATAAAAAAGGACATAGAAAGTTATGTTGCCAGCTGCCCAACCTGTGCATCAGCAAAGAGGTTGCAAGGGAAATCGCCAGGGCTGTTACAACCAGTGGCAAGTCCCTCAGCCCCCTGGAGGGAAATAGCCATGGATTTTATAGTGGAATTGCCTGAAAGCAATGGGAATACTGTTATCTGGACAGTCACGGACCTATTTTCCAAACAGGTGCACTTTATCCCTTGCCAAAAAATTCCCACTGCAAAGGCCTTAGCAAAACTTTTTATCCAGCACATTTACAGATTGCACGGGGCACCCCAACGCATCATCTCTGATAGGGGAGTGCAATTTACGTCTACATTTTGGAAGGAATTTTTATCCCTCTTAGGGACCACTCAGGGACTGACATCTAGCCATCACCCTCAGACAGATGGACAAGCGGAACGCTGCCAGTCGGTACTTGAGCAATATTTGAGATGTTTTTTAAATTTCCAACAGAGTGATTGGACGGACTTACTTCCTTTTGCAGAAGTTGCCTACAATAATGCAGTCCACTCCAGCACAGGCTACACTCCTTTTCAAATAGCCAACGGCCAAAGTTTCAACCCTATGCCAGAGTTAACCCCAAAAGAACCAACGATCCCTTCACTGAAAGAATGGATGGAAAACCTACAAACACCTGGCCAATAGTCAGAAAATCACTAGATGAAGCTAGGCGGGCATACAAAGCACAAGCCGATAAAAAAAGGGTTGAGCCTACACCATTCATTATAGGAGAAATGGTGTACTTATCTACAAAATACCTAAAGTCCCTACAGCCCTGTAAAAAACTTGGACCAAAATATATAGGACCTTTTCCAATTAAAAGAATCATAAATCCAGTAACAGTAGAATTAGAATTACCCAAAAACCTCAGGCAAATACACCCAATTTTTCATTGCAGCTTGCTGAAAAGAGAGCATCAGTCACCTCTACGGCCAAAAATCCCCCCCCCACCACCTCCAATCATGGTGGAGGGGGAACAACACTTCGAAATAAAAGAGATCCTTGACTCTAGGAGATATCGTGGAACAACTCAGTACCTAGTTGCCTGGAAACACCTCCCTGCCTCACAAAATGAGTGGGTCCATAAACGTCACGTCAGAGCCCCGAAGCTATTGAAGAAGTTTCACACAGAGTATCCTAACAAGCCTAACTAAATTTTTTACTTGTGTTTTCTTTCAGGTGGATCTCTCTTATTGTTAAGAGGGGCCGGATGTCAGAATCCAATTATATTTCATCTTTAATTATCAAACATAGAAACTCCCAATTCTGCCTTCTCTGGATTCTGCCATAAGAGGGAGAAAAGGGGGAGAGCAAAGGGGCTTTATGGCCCTCACTTCCTTCAGCACACTTCAAAGGACTGAATGTGTGTTTATTGTGGCCTCTAAGCTTTAACATATCAAAGAAGAGTAATTGCCTTTCATGTAGTTATCTGAAGTCTCCATCCAGACGGAAGAAGAAAGGGGATGGAATTGTGATACTTGAAACTATCACTGGAAGGGGGGTTGATTGGGTGGGACTACTGGGGAACCCCTTAAAACCTTGAATGGGAGAGCTTGAACCCCAAGTCCTGTCTAGCATGCCTGCAACCATTTTCTCTTAATAAAGGATTCCTGTTGGAAGAGCTATTCCAAGAGTTCTGTCTTCTTAAGATGCAAAGTGGGGTGGGTCCTTACAGTAGGGTTGGGGGGGTATGGGAAGGGGATTTGTTTTTGTAAAAATTTAAAAATTTTCAATTAAAAAAAAAAAAAAAAAAGATTGTCTCTGAGATCCTGAGTACTCTCTGAGCTTGGTGGGGGTTTTTTGCAGACGTTTCATTGCCCAACTAGGTAACATTTTTGATGATGATGACGACGACGACGACAACGCCCTGAAGACATTATCTGGTTGGGTAATGAAACGTCTGCAAAGAAACCACCAAGCTTAGAGAGCACCAAGAAACCCACAGTTCAGTTCTGAGCTGCAAATAGAGGCTAAAACATATGAAGGCTAAAACATATGAAGAATGATTGCAGGCATTAGGTATGTCTAGTCTAGTGAAAAAGGGGAGACGTGATTCCAGTATTTGAAGAAGAGGGGGTCAAACTATTCTCCAAAGCACTAGAAGGCAAGACAAGAACCAATGGATCAAAACTAACCAAGGAGAGATGCAACCTAGAACTAAGGAGAAATTTCCTAATGCTGAGAACAATCAACCAATGGAACCGCTTGCCTCCTGAAGTCATGGGTGCTCCATCACTGGAGGCTTTTAAAAAGAGACTGGACAGCCACTTGTCTGAAATGGTATAGGGCAGTGGTTCTCAACCTTTTTAATGCCGCGACCCCCAGCTGGTCGTAAGTCGAGGACTACTCAACTGGTGCAGCACCGTTTGCAGAATGGGACTTTTGGCGGGCTCAGCAGGGCAGAGACAGCCTGGACAATTCCTATTGGCTTTTGAAAGCCAATAGAATTAGACTCTATTCAAGAGAGTCTGTTCTACTGGCTTTCAAAAGCCAATAGAATAAAAGGGAGTAGCACAGCTAAGGAAAAGGGGGGAAAAATGGTGGACTGCGTTGTTTGGCGACCCCCGTGAAATGGTCGTTCGACCCCAAATGGGGTCCCGACCCACAGGTTGAGAACCACTGGGGTAGGGTCTCCTGCTCAAGCAGAGTATTGGACTGGAAGACCTCCCTGGTCCCTGCCAACTCTAAATATTCTCTTCTGTTGGTATCTAGATTGACTGGAAGGGGCACACACTCAAAGTTACAAAATTCAGAAAAGGATTGTCTTGCACGTACACTTCTTGCTCCCCCCGGATGAGCTCCCTGGTGTTTTCTGTTTAAAAACCACAAACATATTCTCTCATCACAAACAGCGCGGATAATTGGCTGGAGAGCTCGGAGGTGTTGACAAGGAGTTAGCGTATAGAAAATTATATTTTATTGGGAAGCTTTTAAAAATCATTGGAATTTTTATCAGTGGTGTCAGACCTTTTAAGCTAAAGCAAAATCACACTTGGCAGCTGTGGGCAAACGCTTATTTGAACACGATTTATGTGAGGTCCCTATTGAATTTATTTATTTATTTAACCCACAGTTCTTAACTGAGGCCTGTAGATATGTAGAGCAAATTGCATGGTGGCAAAAATCGCAGCTTATCTCCTCGAGGGAGACTCCGCGTGAGACGGTTCCTAAGAAAAGAGAGTGAGGAAGAGAGCTAGGCTCTGGATAAATTTCTAAAGGGAAAAATGAGAGATTGAAAGAGGTGATTAGGGCAAAGAGAGGGCTCCCATTTTAATCTCATCTTTCCTTCAAATCACATAAAGCAATCAGAATGGCCCAGACAAATATAGTTTATTTTTTATCATGACTTAGGAAAATAGTAAAAGATGTTGCTGGGGGGGGAAAAATAATGAAGATTTGCGCATCTTTCAGCTGAAAATCACACGCTTTCACTTAGGTTTTTTTTTTTTTTTTAACTTGTGTGTCTTCTGATGAATGAACCTCCACACCCAGAATTTTCAACAGAGCCCTTCCTGGCTTGAGAATTCTGGAAGTTGAAGTCCATATACCTGGAGGGCATCCCAATTTAGAAAAACTGCCCTAAATTTAGAGGGAGCAATGGCTCAGTGGTTAAAAACGCTGAGCTTGTTGGCTGGAAAGTTGACAGCCCGGGTTTGAGACCCGAACAATATGTGATGGAGTGAGCTCCCGACCCCGCCTCAGCTCCTGCCCGCCTACCAGTTCAAAAGCATGCAAATGCGAGTAGATCAATAGGTGCCATTTTGATGGGAAGGTATTGGTGCTCCGTAACGTCATCCTTGCCACATGACTGCAAAAATGTCTTTGGACAACACTTGGCTAAGAAACGGAGAAGAGCATGGCCACTAGAATTGACACAATTGGACAGGGGAAACCTTTACCTTTCTTTTACCTGCTCTAAATTTGTGTTGTTGTTTTGTATCCCACTGTTATTATTTCTACAAATATTATACCCTGCATTTCTGTTAAGAGAGTAAGGAGGAAGGAGAGGACAGGGTTATGAAAAACTGTAAAAGGGAGGGGGGGAAATGAAGGCAAAAGTATAAATCATGATCCTGGGGACAACAGGTAGTTCAGGGCTGAGAAAATACTTACAAAGTTAACCAGGCAGAGTTCCTTAAAAATGGGGAAATGGCTGCCTATATATGGTTGTGCGTCCTAAATCCTTTTTCGCCCACGATGAGCCTGCTATATGGGTACATCAGCAAGAACATGACCTGGCTTTAAGCATGCATTTATTTAATTCATTTAAGACTCATTGACACCGTTCTTCTTTGCAGTCTTCCTCATGAGGCGCGTTGCTCCTGTGTGCATGCATCTAATTGGCTGAAATCGGCATGAATTGAACCTTTTTGGGATGGGAAGTGCTGCTGAACAGATCCACAGCCTTGTGGGGTCCTGGGTTGGTTTGTTTTGACTTTCTTTTTTTCCTTCGTGCCTCGTATTTATCAGTTGCCAAATCATTTCAGCAACAACACTGGGAATCTCAGATAGAGTTGGCACAGTGCTAGAAATTGTGTTGGGAATAGTGGTCTATAAGAGTGAAGGTCTTATAAACCAGGGGTCTGCAACCTTGACAACTTTAAGACTTGTGGACTTCAACTCCCAGAATTCCTCAGCCAGCAAAGCTGGCTGAGGAATTCTGGGAGCTGAAGTCCACAAGTCTTAAAGTTGTCAAGGTTGCAGACCCCTGGTATAGGGTTTCTTGCTTGAGCAGGAGGTTGTAAGGAAGATCCCTTCCAATTCTGTTATTCTGTAATTCTCTATCATGTCTGCAGCTAACTTTTCCCAAGGTTGTCTGGCTACAGTGAAAATCTCCCTGCTGTCATTGTGCCCTTCTGGAAACAGACACGGGTGCTTTAATAAGTTGCCTATATTACATTCCTCTATATTCTGAAGCACCTCTTTCCAACTGATTCCAAAGATCTGCAGAGATCTTTCCTCTATTCTTTTGGCAGAAGCTATCCCCCTGGCTAATACTGCGGTCCTGGTTTTTCACTGGTGGAGATGATCAAAGTAAGGGAATCAGACTTTTCTCTCAGAGGTGTTTGAAAGGCATTGGCTAACATTTTCAGCATCAGTAAATGATTGCCCTTCCATCGGAAAAATTGGGACACCAACAAGGGGACATTATTGTGTTTTGACATCCAAAGACGTTGTCCCTTTGATCTACAGGAGCATGACTCTCTCCATTGTCCCAAAGATTCCTCTTCAAGAGCCAACTGGACTTTCTTTGTTTTTCCTTGAAGATGTTTCGCTTGTCATCCAAGAAGCTTCTTCAGCTCTGAAATGAGAAGTGAAACGTCTTCAAGGGGAAAAAAACCCAAGAAAGTCCAGTTTCCTTGGGACAGCCATGACTTGGATGACTGAGGACCTCCGTAGACATCTCCATTGTAGTTTGTAAGCTTACCCCCCCCCCTTTCTATGTTCCACCCACCTTGAAAGTAGACATGGCATTCTCCGTGTTTAGGAAAAAAAATAAATGTTTCAGCTCTCATCAAAAGACTCAAAAGCAGGGTTGAGGGTCTTAACTACAAAGGACCTGATGTCGCTTTTGCCTTGAATGAAGAGCTCTTGAGTGTGTTCTGAGTTTTTTTTTAAAGCGTTTTTCACTCTTTGTTTGAAGATCAGCGAAGTCTGAGCAGCAAAAAGGCATAGTTTTCCAACAGAATAAGGTTGGGTTTTGTGTGACTTTTATAGCAAGATGACCCTGCCCTCTCAGTTGTGAGATAGAGCATTAGTTACACAGTCTTTTTTTGTATTCTAATTGGAAAAAAATGACAAGCCATTTTATATTGGGGGGGGGGAATTAAGAGCATGTAGACAGGAATAATTTTATAGTCATCAGCCTCTCCTGATTCTCTTGCATATTTCTCTCTCTCTTCTCTTCTCTTCCCTCCCTCCCTCCCTCCCTCCCTCCCTCCCTCCCTCCCTCCCTCCTCTCTCTCTCTCTCTCTCTCTCTCTCTCTCTTTCCACCTAGAGACAGTTCATCAAAATTGTTGGTCAAAGCGCAGCTTCTAAGGCAGTGTTTCTCAACCTTGAAAATTTTAAGGCATGTGGACTTCAACTCCCAGAATTCCACAGCCAGCATTGCTGGCTGTGGAATTCTGGGAGTTGAAGTCCACAGGCCTTAAAATGGTCAAGGTTGAGAAACACTGTTCTAAGGGAAGGGAATAGTTTCTGGCAGGACCCCCTTAATCTGTACTGGATAGATAATGATTGACAGAGGGATTTTAATAATTATTAGAATCCCTGCCTGCTGTTTTCACATTTTGTCCTTCAAACATCTGTAAAAAGTCCGTTATCTGTCACAAGAACAAAGAGTACTTAGTACAGACAGTCCTCGGCGTACAACCACAATTGAGCCCATCACTTCTGTCGCTAAGAGAGACATCTGTTAAGTGAATTTTGCCCATTTTACAGCCTTTCTTGTCACGGTGGCTAAATAAATCACTGCAGTTTTGAAGTAGTCACCTGGTTGTTAGTTGAATCTGGCTTCCCCGTTGACTTAGCTTGACCAAAGGGCACAAAAAAGGATCACGTGACCTCAGGACATTGCAACTGTCCTAAATACATGTCAGTTGCCGTTTTTGACTGTCCGTGGAGGTTCTCATTCACGCAGGGAATGGGGTCCCAAAGGTGCTTTTATTTTTAAAGACGAGATTTTTTTCTTTAAGGCTTTTTGCTTCTCAGCCAAGAAGCTTCTTCAGTTCTGAACGCTTGAATGCCTTAAGGAAAAATCAGGAAGTCCAGTTGCCTTTAAAATAAGACATTATTTCTGGATATTGTTTGAATGCAGCCTTTCTGTGCGGTTTAGGCGACTAGCAAGATCCCTTCTTTCTGCCTGAATCTGTGAAACGGCTAAGATTATTATTAGAAATCCATTTCTTTGTACAACTCATCCCTTTTTTTTGTGGAAACAAAGCGACTACAGAGATGAGAGCCTTAGGAGAGCCATCCTCTAGCTGTGGAAATATCTCTTCCTTTCTTGGTTCATCTATCGCAGTGGTTCTCAACCTTTTTAATGCCGCGACCCCCAACCGGTTGTAAGTCGAGGACTACTCAACCGGTCGTAAGTCGAGGACTACTCAACTGGTGCAGCACCGTTTGCAGAATGGGACTTTTGGTGGGCTCAGCAGGGCAGAGACTGCCTGGACAATTCCTATTGGCTTTTGAAAGCCAATAGAATTAGACACTATTCAAGAGAGTCTATTCTCTTTCAAAAGCCAATAGAATCAAAGGGAGTAGCACAGCTAAGGAAAAGGGGGAAAAAATGGCGGACTGCGTTGTTTGGCGACCCCCGTGAAATGGTCGTTCGACCCCAAATGGGGTCCCGACCCACAGGTTGAGAACCATGGATCTATCGCAAGGTTATTTTTAAAGAAAGCAAGTCAAGACCATCCTTTTCCAGAATAGCCATCCGTTCTAGATTAGTAATATTTTAGACTACTCAGGGAGTAGTCATTCATTTAGTGACTGTTCAGAGTTACAACGGCGCTGAAAAAAGTGACTTACGACTATTTTTCACACTTATTGGCCATTGTGGCATCCCCATGGTCATGTGATCACAATTCAGAGACTTGACTCGTATTTATGACGGTCGCAGCGTCCCTGGTGGGTCACGTGATCCCCTTTTGCGACCATCCGTCAAGCAACGTCCGTGGAGAAGCCAGATTCACTTAAACAGTAAAATGGGGCAGAATTCACTTAGCGAATGTCTCGCTTGGCAACAGAAATGTTGGGTTCAATTGTGGTCGTAAGTCGAGGACTACCCGTGTTTAGTTTATGCAGCCCAACTCTCTTTCCCTAGCATTTAACGCTGCCCTTAGCGTCTCCGCACCAAGTTTCCAGCACTACAAAACAGATGTAGCTTGTTTCAGAGCAGTGTGCAAAACTCAGTCCAGCTTTTTTATTGACTCTATGGGTAGCCTGTTTTTAAAATATTACAATACAAGGTTAAGTTTGAAAACAGCCAAGAAGGGAAAAGGGGGGCAAGGAAGTAAGAAACAAAAGAAAAGAGTCCTTGTAGCAATTTAAATATATATGTATATATATATATTTATTGCCAGTTTGATCTTGTGCTTGGAAGCATCAGGCTAGAAGTTGGGAGACTGTTGAGTTCTAGTCCTGCCTTGGGCATGAAGCCAGCTGGATGCCTTTAAGCCAGTCACTCTCTCTCAGCCCTAGGAAGGAGGCAATGGCAAGCCACTTCTGAAAGTCCTTGGCAAGGAAACTGCAGGGGCTTGGTCCAGCCAGGCATTCGAAGTCAAAAGGCACAAAACAAACAGATATTTTTCCTTGCAGTTCATATATCCTGGTAGAACAAGATTCTCCAAAGCACCTTGAGAGCAAGGCAGAAAGTAACCGGTGGAAGCGTAACAAAGAGAGAAGCAACCTAGAACTAAGGAGAAAGTTCCTGACAATAAGAACAGTTAATCAGTGGAACGGCTTGGCTTCAGACGTTGTGGGTGCTCCATCCCTGGAGGTTTCCAAGAAGAGAATTGGACAGTCATTTGTTCAGAATAGTGTAGAATCTCCTGCTTGGGCAGAAGATTTGACCTCCAAGATCCCTTCTCGTCCCGATACAATACATTTTGCCTGACTCTCCTTTGGGGGTAGCATTGCCTGGGAAAACGTGTGGATATAAGCAGCAAGCTTCATGCTAGGCCCAGCAATACAAGTCTCCAGACACCTAACCTATCTTCAGAAGCCAGCTTCTCACCAGAATACTCCCAAGTATCACAAGATTAGTTTCCGTATTGCAAGAATAGAGCAACACACACAAAAAGATTTGCCACTCTAGCGCAGACAGCAATCAAAACCTATATATATGATCCGTGTGCCAGAATTAAAATTCTAGGCTTCTTTTTTTCCTTCCACATTTCCACATCAACAGTTAAGTGACCAAGGCTGTGGGTGGAAGACAGCTACATTATGACATATATTGTGGTTTTCTTGAACCTGGGAACTGCAAGTTCCCATCTTGCCAGCTGCATTTCTATCCCTAACCCTGCAATTGTGAGAACTTGTTACCCATCTGACATATGACTGCTGACTGTTGTTAACAGTCAACTTCCTGGTGTTATTTCTCCCTGCAGTCTGGTCCCTAGAAATAGCCATCCATTCTTGCTTGTTCATTCTTCTGTGTCAGAGCCCTGCATTTAGGAAGTTGAGTTCAGAACATAACTTAAGTGCACTATAACTTAGGAGTCTCAGAGTTTAGAAGCCGTTTGATTTTTTTCCCTACTCTTGTTAGTGACAGGAAGGTGGATATATTTTACATCTTGAACTACACCTAGGTGTGGTAAGGAGGTGTTGAATACTCTTGAGCCTCGTAGTTCTGGGACATAGGCTCCATTTAGCCAACCAAGTAGCTGCAGAAAAGGATTAGGGGGGGATTTTTATAGAAATGCCCAGAGGGTTGTATTAGAACACAAGTCAGCAACCTGCGGCTCTGGAGCCACATGTGGCTCTTTGAGCCTTCCCCTGCGGCTCCCACGGTGTTCTCCGATGAGCTGAAAAGCTTATTGGGCAGGGCTCCTCCCTTTGCTGCGTCTCTGCAGGAAACAGGAAGGGCAGGAGAGAGCTAGCTAGCCCAGCTACACTGACTCAGGAATTCTGGGAGTTGAAGTCCATGAGTCATAAAAGAGCCGAGGTTGCCTACCCCTGAGCTTGTTGGAGAACAGCTTGAAGCCAGCTTGCCAGATGAGCAGAAGATCGGAGAGAGAGGGAGAGAGAGAAAGAGAGAGGAGGGAGAGGGAGAGGAGAGAGACAGAGAGAGACCCTTTTGACATCTAAAATGAAGATAACATTGCATCTATCCTTTTTTACCTTTATGATAGGTATGTGTGTGTGTGTGTGTGTACACACACGCACCTATCATAAAGGTAAAAAAGGATAGATGCAGTGTTATCTTCATTTTAGATGTCAAAAGGGTTTTGCGGCTCCCAATGTTTTGTTTTTGGTGGGAAACGGGTCCAAGTGGCTCTTTGAGTGTTTTGGGTTGCCTACCCCTGGACTAGAAGGCCTCCAAGTTCCCTTACAGCCTTACGATTCTCTAAACCAGTGCTTCTCAACCTTGACAATTTTAAAGCATGTGGACTTCAACTCCCAGAATTCCACAGCCAGCAATGCTGGCTGTGGAATTCTGGGAGTTGAAGTCCACATGCCTTTAAATTGTCAAGGTTGAGAAACACTGCTCTAAACTTCTATGACCTGCTATCTCATGTACTACTTTATCCATTCAGCAGAGTTAATATAATAGTTGCCATTTGCAAGCTGAGTACCAATTGGTCTTTAGTCTAATACAGGTAGTCCTCAACTTACTACAGTTGAGCCCAAAATTTCGGTAGCTAGACATTTGTTAAGTGGGTTTTGCCCCATTTTGCAACTTTTCTCGCCACTGTTAAGTGAACAGATTGAACATGTGTACATGTCAAATTAGTAACACAATTGTGAATCTGGCTTCCACATTGATTTTGCTTGTCCGATGGTCAGTCACAAAAGGGGATCACGTGGGCCCAGGACACCATAATTGTCACGAATACTTTCCAGTGGCCAAGCATCCAAATGTTGATGATGTGACCGTGGGGATGCTGAAGCGGTCCTAAGTGTGAAAAACAGTCACCGGTCCCTTTTTTAGTGCCATTGTAACTTTGAAGGGTCATTAAAGAAACCGTTGTAAGTCAAGGACTACCTGTAGGAAGCTGCTTTGATGCGTTTTCTGAACCAGTTTTGGAAAAGGCATGCCTTTTCTAGAGCAGTTGAGGAAAAAGCCGAATGTTCATATCTTAACATTATTCTAAGGAAGAACCTTACCTATATGTTAGCATGATCAAACTGTCGATGCTTTGGGTTTACTTTTGATCCAGAGGATCTGTCCTATTTTCATTCCCCTCTGTCTAGGCACATGCACATGTAACTTCTTTGAATCACTCACCAGTCAGGAAAAAAAGTACCTGATTAAAAATAAAAACAACTGGGGCCTTCCTTTAAAAAAAAAAAACTGGAAAAGCACCATGAGCCCAAAGTTATTTGTACCAGTTGCATTTGAATCTCTCAGCAATGCCTCTACAGCAGTGGTTCTCAACCTTTCTAGTGCCGCGACCCCATAATACAGTTCCCCATGTTGTGGTGACCCCCAACCACTTATACATCACCGGGTACCAGGGGCGTGGCCAAAGAAAAGGGGGAAAAAATGGCGGACAGCCTTGTTTGGCGACCCCCGTGAAATGGTCGTTTGACCCCAAATGGGGTCCTGACCCACAGGTTGAGAACCACTGCTCTATAGTAAACTTACAAAAAAATATTCTCTTCCTTTCTTGCTTCATATAGCATTTGTCTGGGGGTCCAGCATTTGAATGTGAATTAGGAGTTTTATATTTCTTAGTCAAGAGTGCAGTTTGCCACAAGAGCTCAGGGGTAGAGTTTAAAAAAACAAAACACCACCCTTTCCTAAATGTCTGGATCCACTGATTTCTCCTGGCTTCTTGAAATAAAGTTAACCTTGTGCTTGTGTTTGTAAGTATGCTCTAATCCTGTGACCAGCTGCTTCTCCCAAGCCTTGAATTCAGCAGCTTCAGCCTAGGTATCACATGCTGAAGGTCATCGCTTTTGACAGGGGAAGTGGAGCAGAGAACGTTTTGCAAGTGAGGCTTTAGATTTGAGCTCCTATGACAGGAGTCTTCAAACTTGGCCCTTTGATGACTTGTGGACTTCAGTGCCTGGCTGAGGAATCCTGGGAGTTGAAGTCCACAAGTCATCAAAGGGCCAAGTTTGAAGACCCCTATTCTAAGAGGCGTTAAATGGTTCCATTCCTCTTTCAAAGAGGCTAAACTGAAGTGGTTTTAAAGAAAAAACTTTAAAATAAAAACCTACAAGGGAGGGAAAAGAAACCCAGTCCAATAATAATCACGCGAAATTGGGAGTTTTATATTTCTAACAATCTTTTGTTTTTATTATTAAAACAAAATTATTATTTTTTTTAATATATTAATAAAACTGCCTGTTTCTTTCAGGTGGGTGTACATGGCATTAGAATAGAATTCATCAACGAAAAAGGATCAAAACGCACGGCCACCTACTTACCCGAGGTTGCAAAGGAGCAAGGTCATTGTTGGGTTTTATCTCATATGATCTGGTGAAGAATTTAAACATGCCTAGGAACTTATAATGCAGTATTTGACCTTGCCCTGATGTCAGATGATGGAGCAGTCCTTTAATTGTAAGGGATGACTCTTCTTTTAAATGCCACTTACACACTTGTAGAAAGCAGGACCCCCCTAGATTGCAGGGATCCAGACATACTAACAAAGCAGCAATGGGGCCAAATGGTGGTGAGAGACAGTGGGAAAAAATAATCCACACAGATAGAAAACTCCAGACACCAGCCATGCAGGAAGCTCTTTTAAAAGGGCACTGCCACCATTTATGAAAGCATTTTATTTTATTTTATTTTTAAAAAATCTTCTTACCCATTTGCTCCAGGACACTGTTCTGACTCAAAATTGTTTTTTCATGAGGCAACTGGACTTCGTTGTTCTTTGAAGACATTTTGCTTCTCACCCAGGAAGCTTCTTCATTTCTGACTGAGCAGTGGAAGGATGTATATTCCTTGCGGTCATCTGATCATTAACACTCTCTCTGAGACTTGTTGAGACCACTTGGGGTTTATCTATGCCACAGGTCAGCAACCTGTGGCTCTTTGAGCCTTCCTCTGCGGCTCCCACAGTGTTCTCCGATGAGCTGAAAAGCTTATTGGGCAGGGCTCCCCCCTTTGTTGCGTCTCTGCAGGAAACAGGAAGGGCAGGAGAGAGCTAGCTAGCCCAGCTATGCTGACTCAGGAATTCTGGGAGTTGAAGTCCGTGAGTCATAAAAGAGCCAAGGTTGCCTACCCCTGAGCTTGTTGGAAAACAGCTTGAAGCCAGCTTGCCAGGTGAGCAGAAGGGGGGGAGAGAGGGGGGGAGAGAAAGAGAGAGAGAGGGAGAGGAGAGAGAGAGACAGAGAGAGACCTTTTTGACATCTAAAATGAAGATAACACTGCATATATCCTTTTTTACCTTTATGATATATGTGTATATGTGTGTGTGTATATATATACACACACACACCTATAATAAAGGTAAAAAAGGATATATGCAGTGTTATCTTCATTTTAGATGTCAAAAGTGTTTTGCGGTTCCCAGTGTTTTGTTTTTGGTGGGAAACGGGTCCAAGTGGCTCTTTGAGTGTTTTGGGTTGCCTACCCCTGATCTATGCCCTCATGGTCCCCCTGATTAAGAGTGCAAATGGGTGTGAAATCTTGGAACCTCTGAGAGGACTGCATTGTAAACGGGAGAGAGGTGGTGTCCTATGCCTCCCCTCTGTTGAGAGGGGGCTGCTCAATTTACCCTCTGATCCAGGTGGCCCCGAGGGTACAAATAAACTCCCAAGTGGCCTCACGGACTCTCGGAGAGAATGCCAACGACCAGATGACCTCAAGGACTATAAATACTACCTCCCACCCACCATCGTCAGAACATGAAGAGGCTTGGATGAGAAGCGAAACGTCTTCAAAGAAAAACAAAGAAAGTCCAGTTGCCTCTTGAAAAAGCACCTTTGGGACGACCAGAACCTGGAGGACCAAGAGTCTCCATAGACTCTTCTGACCTTCCATTTAGATACACCTCTAAGATAGGTTATCTGAGAAAAAAGGGCATCAGCCAAGTCAGAGAAACAGAATTGGCCCTATCAGGTGCAATCTCGGTCCTAAAATTGACCCCAGATTCTTTGAAGCATCCCTAAGACCCCTTGTAAGGGATGTAGAGAGCCATCATAAAAACGGGGAAAGGGCTGACACCATGGACACTGCCTAAACGCCAGGTCTCCAACCGAACGCTACCATTCGCCAACATTTTCCATGGTCACAGTTCAGAGAGTGACACCTGGTTTCATTTCGGACCGTAAGCGCTAATAAAATTTTCACTGGTAGGAAATTGGATTTTTTTTTAAAAAAAAAAATGACTAGAAATTATATATTTGTCAGGGTTTCTGGGCTGTGAAAACGCAGGTTCAACTGCTTATAATTTGGAAAAGTTGCATAAATGTTATCATTGATACAATATGTATGTAATAGACAAAGTGCAGGTAGTCTTCAACTTGACAACCACAATTGGGCCCCAAATTGCCCATTTGCTAAGCGAGACAGTTGTTGTCAGGGGACTTGACAGTTGTGAAGTGTGTGTGTTGCCCCATTTTACAACTTTCCCTGCCGCAGTTAAGTGAATCACTACAGTTATTAAGTGAGTAACCCGGTGGATTAAGTGAATCCGATTTCCCCCCATTGACATTGCTTGTCAGAAGGTCACAAAACGGGATCACATGATCCTGGAACAGGGCAACTGTCGTAAGTACATGCCAGTTGCCAAGTGTCTGGATTTTGATCACGTAACTTTAAACGGTCACTAAATGAATTGTAAGTCGAGGACTACCTGTAGTTAATCCTATTGCGTTGTCATTGCTCTCAAAACTTTCCGACAGACAGGAACCAAGCAACAGTTGTGTTGGGTTGCCTGGCCCAAAGGTCATCTCCTTTGATAAAACATACTATTTGACCTTTGTGCTACAAAATGGATTTAATTTCAAGGGTCTTTCATATTGGCTTGTTCTAAACTGCATTAATTTGGAATATTGATTGGAATGTAAATAACAAAAGAGAGACAACAATCTACCTTGGATTCCTCCTCCTTTCTGTCATTCCAGAAAAAGGGTCAAGAAATCTAAATAGAAACAAGAGTTCCCAGTGAACATCGTGGCTGATTGAATATTCACAGGTGTCCCACTAAATCTGCAACACACTGTACCATGGATGATTAACAGTTATTAATTTAGATTTTCCTACAGACAATTGGGTTTCCAAACTTGGCCTGGGTGTGCTACAGAACTCCAGGTTCCATCATCCCCAGTGAGCACCAGATTAGGGATTAGCCGTTGTGTTACACTGCTTCTCATAACTGAACACAGCACTGATAAGGTAACACTATTTATTTGGGATTATTCCTAGCCTTGTGTTCTTTTGGAAATATTCGGCTTTAGCCAGCTTACCTGCGGGAATTCTCCCCTAAAAGTACAAATCTCCAGGCAATTTGTATTCTTTGCAATCAGTTAAACCTTTGGCAAAGCTTTCAGAGCTGATGTTCTTTGTGTGTTCTCTTCTAATCCCACAGGCTGGGACCATATTCAGACCATAGATTCCTTACTGAGGAAGGGAGGTTATAAGGCTCCAATCACAAACGATTTCAGGAAAACAATAAAACTGACCAGGTAAGAAGTCCCATCCTATGTTTTTGCTGGGGTTCTGCGCAGGATCTTAGCTGTTCCTAGCCCTGCACGCTTCTGGATGGAGAGCTGGGATGTCATTCCTGGGATCTGTTGAAGCCCCTCTCCCAGCTTAAGAGACATGGCCCCAAATCTTCCTCCCATCACCGGGATCACTTTGGCCTTGACTATCCACATCCGCTCCAGTTCTGTCTTCTCCGTGGTGGCTCCTTCCCTGTGGAACATCATCCCTGCCAAAATAAGATTGGCCCGGCTTTGACACTAAGGCCCTGAAAGCCTGGTTTGGCCAGCGGGTCTGGGGACCTCAAAGTGATACCAAGCCCATCAAGTGGTTTGTTTGATTGTTGTGGATGAGGTGGGGGTGGGGGTGGGGATTGTTACTGGCTTTGTATTGGGGTTTTACTTCTGTAAATCGTCCAGAGCAGGGGTAGGCAACCTTGGCTCTTTTATGACTCATGGACTTCAACTCCCAGAATTCCTGAGTCAGCTGAGGGGAAAGGGAGAAGTTTCCAAGCTAAGCCATGCTTAATAAACCATGACTCAGGAATTCTGGGAGTTGAAGTCCATGAGTCATAAAAGAGCCAAGGTTGCCTACCCCTGGTCCAGAGTCACCATGAGTGACTTGGGCAACCACATGAAGTTTCTTAATAAGTAAATTGTAAGACAGTGAAAGTTGAAGCCTGGGCAGAGATGAGTTTGGGAAGTTATATCTTAAAACCATGTAGGTCCTCCTAGCCTTAATTCTGTTGGATTTTCCTTGTTCTTCTGGTTGTCTTTTAATGCTTAAACCAGGCGTGTCTAATCCACAAGCTTTTGCGGGCCTGGACAGCTAGTAATGCGGGTCCTACAAGATATAATAAAAACCATTTGTTATTTATATACATTCACTATATTAAATATTTTCTATGCGACCCAAGGCAATTCCTCTCCACTCAATGAATCCTAGGCAAGCCAGGACACCCATGTCTTAAACCTGAACAGAATAACGGAGCTGGATGGGGGGGGGGGTTGGAGTCTTCTAGTCCAAGCCCCTTCTCAAGCAGGAGACCCTGCCATTCCAAACATTTCAACTGCTTCTTTAACCGGTTTTTCCTGTTTTAGCAAATGGCAATAGCACTAGACTTACATACTGTCCCATAGTGCTTTACAGCACTCTCTGGGCGGTTTACAGAGTCAGCCTATTGCCCCCAACGATCTGGGTCCCCATTTTACCGACTTCGGAAGGATGGAAGGCTGAGTAAACCCTGAGCCGGTCAGGATCGAACTTCCTGGCTGTGGGCAGAGTCAACCTGCAATTCTGCATTCTAAACACTGCACCACCAGAGCATGATAGATATAGATAGATGGATGGATGGATGGATGGATGGATGGATGGATGGATGGATGGATGGATGGATGATGGATGGACAGACGATGATAGATAGATAGGTAGATAGATGATGGATGAATGGATGGATGGACAGACGATAGATAGATAGATAGATAGATAGATAGATAGATAGATAGATAGATAGATAGATAGATAGATAGATAGATAGAAAGATAGATAGATAGATAGATAGATAGATAGATAGATAGATAGATAGATAGATAGATAGATAGATGATTGGATGGATGGATGAATGGATGGATGGATGGATGGATGGATGGACGATTAGATAGATAGATGATGGATGAATGGATGGATGGACAGACGATAGAGATAGATAGATAGATAGATAGATAGATAGATAGATAGATAGATAGATAGATAGATAGATAGATAGATAGATAAACAGAGCACTTATATATGCTTCAAACTGCTTTGCACTCCTCTCTAAGCGGGTTTAGAGTCAGCACGTTGCCCCAAATAATCTGGGTCCTCATTTTGCCGACCTCGGAAGGATGGAAGGCTGAGTCAATCTTAAACCGGTTAGAATCGAACTCCTGCTAGTGGGCAGAGTTAGCCTGCAATACTGCATTCTAACCATCGTGCCACCAAAGGCTTTGGGGAAATTAAACTTGTCTCTCTCTTATTTTTTTTCTTTCACTCCTCCCTGCCTCTCTCTTTCCCTTTCTCTCCCTACTTTTCTTTTAGGTATCGTAGTGAGAAGATGACTGTGAGCTACACAGAATACCTTGCCCACCGTCAGCATCACCACTTCCAAAACGGCATCGGGCACACCCTTCCCCCCTACAACCATTATTCCTGACAGTGAGCCGTATGACCAGTCCCTGGACTTTTCTGCAAACCTCTTCCCAGGAGAACCCCCTCCTTCCTGGTCTAGCTATCTCTATTACTGTACCATTTTATGATGATAATTTCCGTTGCCATGTTGACGCTTCTCCGTGGCAGGTTAAGCTCACCATGGCAACGGGTGGAAACGCTGCATCGTTACAAAGAACCCCCTTCGCTCTCTTCTCCCTCCCCCCCCCTCTCTTTTTTAAAATTAGTCACTGTGGGTTGGTTTGGGTTTTCTTTTTGTTATGTCAACATAAAAAAAACAGGTTCTTTTTTTTTTAAAAGGATAACATTTTAAAGTTCTGTTCCATTTATCACTCAATTGTATCGATCACCTTTTTCTGTGAAACTGTGGATGGAAGGAAAGAACACAAACGTGTCAGGTTAGAGAAAAATGAAATACAACAGTCTGCTCTTAAAATCATAAAATATCAGATCCCAGGTCAGAAGCAAGATAAAGATTGCCTTGACTAGGATGCGCTATCAGATAAAAATTGTTAAGAGACTACGCGAACCTCTGATTCCTGGTCTGGTTGGCCCAGACAAATCAGTGATAAGCCAAATCAATTACGATGAGAAACAAAGTGTGCTTTTGTTTTATACCAGGGGTGTCCAACCTTGACGACTTTAAGACTTGTGGACTTCAACTCCCAGAATTCCCCAACCAGCATGAGTAGCTGGGGAATTTTGGGAGTTGAAGTCCACAAGTCTTAAAGTCACCAAGCTTGGACACCCCTGGTTGAGACGTAATCATAGCCAAGACTTTCATCACAGACACAGATTGAGTTCCTGGTTCGAATCCTTTCAAATTGCCCCTCCAAATCACTGGAACTAAAAACTGGCAGATGAATAGTCTTGTCTTTCCCCACTCCCAGTTCCTAAATCTGACTTCAGGCAGATGGGGTGATCTGCCAAGCTCTTTCCTTCATCAGCAAGTTGACGAACAGCACCAGTCAGGCTCACTCCAAGATTCTCTTCAACTTCTCAGATGTTTCTTGCTGGTTCTAATCAGGGGGATTAGCTTGAAGAAACTGCTGTGTTAGGACGCCGGCAGATTTTGATATTAGTGCCTTAGGGGACACAAGTTTTGGGAAGGAAGGGAAGGCAAGGCAGCAGAAGCACAAGAGGAGGTCACTAATCCAAATTCTAAACTTTCCAGACGGGTGAAAAATGTTCTTTGGAGAGCAGGATCCCATTTTTGTCTCCTACCTTACAAGGCTTGCCCCTGTACAAATTAGCCATTCATCGTGGCACACGTTTTGGTGCTTTTGGTGAGGAAATGAAGGTGCACTAAAACCTCCGCAAGGTCAAAAAGAAAAAGAAAAGCCCAGCGAGTTTTTTTTTTTTTTTTTTTAGAAAAATCCTAAAGGCTTAATAATTTTAAATTAAAAATCCAATCGCGGTTACCTTTTTTACGAAGCTGCAACGCAGCAGCGCCAGAAGTATATTTGGATAGAAGTCATAGGAAATGGTACCAAGGTAGCAGAATTGGAATTGTTCCCATCTCCGGGTTGACATAGCAGAGAGAGCTTATCCTAACCCACTTCGAATTCTGAGAAGGACTTTCACAAGAGTTCTCGTTTCAGGTGCTTCCTGAACTCGTACAAACGTCACTGAAATGGATCTCGGTGATCTATTTCAGAGATCCTCCCTGGTAATTAGAAGATCTTGGAGGAGGCGGACACCATTTCGGCAGAAGTCTTCTCCTAGTTCATCTGATTTAGGGATGCAATCTTAATAAACATAGACTGCCACAATAACCAAGAGGGAGCCCTATACCAGGCCCTGAAAAATACTTTTGAAAGAATTGACTATGATCCCAGCTGGGGAAGGGAGCAGAAAGCCATTCCATCACAGTCTTTCCTTCAATCCACAGTATTTTAACGTCCAAATATTAACTTTCTGTTTCGATGCCTTAATTTTCAAATAAGCAAAAATTCTGAAAAAAGAAAGAAAGAAAAAAGGGCAGCAGACAAGGAGAACCTGTCGGAGCTTCGGTTGAAGTTCTTGGGGTGTCTTTCCTGTCGGGAGGGTAGAAAAAGGGGGTTCATTTTTTTATGTGAAAAGTATTGTCGGTTGCTGTCTAATTGCAACTTTCCCTGTTTTGCCTTGAAAAGGGAAACTTGAGCACAAGTTAAAACAAAAAAATTCTCTGCTGCAAACATTTGGAATATTCTACCATAGCCACCCAACTCACAAACAAACCAACACACAAACACACACAAAAAAACACACAGAGCCATCTTTCTCATTACAGTTCATGCTTCTGGGTGAGCTCAATGTTAAACAGTTTTTTTTAAAAAAAGAAAAAAGATCTATTATATATATATATATTAAAAATATATATGTGTATTTAAAGGTGCTAATCATCTTAAGCAGGTCACGTGACTGGTCATGCGGACTCTAGAATCATATCAGATTTTTTTTAGAAAAAAAAAATCCTCAATATATGCAGATGTTATACAGAATTTCTTACCAGTGTAATAATGATATACTGATTTAAATAAAATAATCCTGCAGGGTTTGAAGGAAGAGGTCAGCAATACTTCCCACCATGGCTTGGAGGAGGAACAAAACAAACAAACAAACAAAAAAGATCATCTTGTCAACATAATGCACAATATTTTTTTTCTCTCGTTTTGGGTGTCTCCATATAGCTATTGCTTTGGGAACTTAAATCAAAAACAACAGCTGTTGTTCAAAGAGTTCAACAAACTGGAAAGGTGCGCTTTAAAAAAAAAAACCAAAAAAACCTCCAGACTCTTTTGAACCTGTTGTAAATCTCTCTCTATATATATATGTTTGTTTTGAGAGCTACTCCTGGAATCTTGCAAGGCTGGCGAGATGCACCCGTGATAACCTTGGACGCATCGGTGGTGATCCGTTGGCTTCAGTGGCACCTGCTTTGTTTTCTCCTGGTTGTCTTTCTTGGGTCAGGGAAAGGGCTCGCCGGGCAAAGGGGCTACTGTTCCTTACGGTGGGGGTCTTCAACCTTGTCAACATTACGACTTCTGGACTCTCAGAATCCTGGGAGCTGAAGTCCACAAGTCGTTCAGTTGCCAAGCTCGGAGACCTCTGCCTTAACTCAATCGCCCCAACCGTGCTGCCCCTCCTTAGGCGTTCGCCCAGACCCAAAGTGGCTTTTGCAATTTCTCCTGAGTCTTCAAAGCTGCGTCCGTTTCCAACCTCCTGGGTTTCTTGGGGGGATCACTGAGCCATAGATCAATGTTGTTTAGAAAAGCGGTTGCGTTTTTCTTGCCTTATTTCATTCCAAAATCGAAAAGGCGGTTTAGTTTTAGCTTTAAACGTTTTTCTTTCTTACACCCGTGTGGTGAAGGACAGTTTGGGAACGAACATCCGGCTGAATCTAAGAGAGGAGATTGGTGGGGCCACCGTTCCATCCAGGAGAGACACGGGTGCTGCGGTGTGCGTTGCTGTCACACCATCTTCACTCTGGGGTTGGGCATGGACCCCGCGAGGAAGGAAGCACCCCATGCTGATGTGCCGTCAGCTGGGGGGGCACCGGGCCCACCCCCCACCCCCATTTCACATTAATGATCTCAACCTCTTGACGTATCTTCAACTTGTCTGGGTTCTTGAAACTGTCTGGAGTAGCCGACATTTTGTGTGTTGGACTGAACCAAAGACACCTCCAGCCAAGCCTCAATGCTGCTTCTTAAAATGTCTGCCTTCCGATCCTTCAAAGTCTCTGCAGGATGCAAATGGGTTAACTTTTTTATTTTTGTACAGTTTCTAACTGATTTTTTGCTAGTGATGTTAAAATTAAGTTTGAGGATCCGTCACGGCTCCTCCGATGAAATTAAAAAACTGGTGACTTTTATGTTTAAATAAAATAATATAGAAACCCGACATGTGCCTCTCAGATTCTAAGGGTTTCTGGTTACACTTCTTAAGACCAGCAATGATTCTTTATATACAAAGATATGTGTTTTTTTTTCCTTGTTTCTTTTTTTATTATTACTGTTTCAGAAGGAAAAAGACTTCCTTCTGCTCTGAAGCCGGTGGCCACACACTGGTACATAAATGCACTGAGTTAAAAAGAGAAAAAAAAAAAAAACCTTTTGTAACAACTTTATGACTGTTTTTGTATATCAAAGCTGATTCTTTCCAAAAGATTTGGATCTAGTTTCTAAGTTATTTTAGTGTTTTATATGTTACAAGAATTAATTGTTCACCAGCATAACTAGTTATCTTCAATGGGAAAAAAAATGACATAGGTGGGCAGACGATCTACCTGGCGTAGCTCAGAAGCCCCTCCCCCCTCTTTTCCTTTGACTATTGATTACAATATGATCACAGATTACCACAAACCTCCTTCCATTAAGACTAGATTCTTCTTATTTCCATGTTTAATTTGCTATTAGTGTGAAGAAACTGTTGATTTAAAAAAAAACGGGCATTTTATAAGTATGGCTTAAAGGTAAAAATGAGGAAAAAGCAAAAAAAAAATAAACTACTTTAGAAGGTAATTTGTGGGTCTGTGAGATATGGCTGTGGAAAGATATTGTAGTAGTTTTAACACTATTGTTATTACCTTTTAAATCATTTACCCAATAAAATGAGGAAAAAATTGCAGCTGCTTGTATTAATGGTCTCCTTGCACTTTGACGCCTTTTCCTTCAGTCTTAGATCCGGTTGAGTTCAACCAGAAGGGATGACAGGATCTAGGAAAGCCCTTAGAGGCTAGAGAGATTTGAAATAAACTTTAGAAAAGTTTACAGGTAGTCCTTGACTTATAATAGTTCACTTAGTGACTTGGATCAGAGGAGACGTATCTGCGTAAAAGTGGGCAGAATGAAAAGAAACTTGCGCATTCTGAAGGAGGTTGTTGAATTTAAGAAATAACAGTAGACGTCTTTCTAAAAGGTTAGGTTCTTTGGAATACATAGAGAATATTAAGGTTGGAAGGGACTTTGGAGGTCTTCTAGTCCAGCCCGCTGCTCAGGGCAGGAGATCCTCTACTGAAGCTGGCAGGAAAGTCCAACCTGCCCAGCCATCTGCCGTGAAGAAGTTAGCGCCAAGGGATTAAATAACAAGTTACAACCATTAGGTATAAAATATTTATCTCCCTGAAACAAAACATAAGCAGGGTTTTTTTCCATAAACATTTTATTTTGAGATGGGAAAAAAAAACATTTGAGACAAACTCTACATAGCCACAAACCCAAATACACAATTTTGTTGGAAAATGACTTTTACATTTAAAAAACCAAATCAGTATTTTGTTTTTTGTTTTTAAAAAATATCTTAATAAAATGATCTTAGTGGGCGATTCTATTTTTAATTCCCCAGAAGTGGAAATAACTGTACTTTAACTATCCCTTGATAGACAGAATGAGCTAAAAATTCGTTTTTTAACATTTGAAGGCTATTTGACTAGGAAAATAAGAAAAGATCGTATGAACAAAGTTAATTTTGTTTTGGTTTTTTTGCCAAGCTGCCAACTGAACTAAGACACTAGAAGAAAAAGACCATTTCAGACAGCTGCAGCAACGGTCAGTAAACTTCCAGTTTCCCAGATTTGCAAACATCTTGGGTGTTTGTAAGAACCACACGTTTAACTAAAATTACAGCAATTTGAGAAACTTCCAGCCTTGAGCCACAAAAAGTCCTTTTGATGAGGTCCTGCTTTGAAAAATAAATCTTTTAAAAAAAATACACTTGCATTGTGAGAAGTTTAACAGCAGTATAACTCATCCCATTGCACAATCTCGGGTGTAGATAAAACCAGCATTAATCTGACGTACATTGAGGGTGCCTTTTGGCTATGAGAGAAGAGCTGGTTTCTGAGGTTTTATTTATTATTATCTTTTCCAAAGCACACTCAATTTCCATGATAAGAAAGTTATCAAAACCCTGACGCGGGCCACAAAAGGGCAGCTTCACTGAGGTACTCCACGTTAAAAAGCGCACACGTGCCTATCGCCCTGGTTTGTGATGGCCCCCAAAAGAACATCTAACTAGAGTTCCAAGAAGTTCTACAGCCATAAATGGGAGACCGTGGGCCACCTTGGCCTCAACGATCACCTGAGATGTGAAAAACAAGGAAAGCAACTCAGAAGTATTCCATATCCGGTAAATAGAAACAACTTAGATTCTTCCAAGACTTTATGAAAAGAGAAAGCGATGGGAATGGGGATGCTAAAGGGAGAGGACCAAAGCATTCCAAGGCTGCGTCTTTGGCCTCCATGACAATCTGCTGGCGGCTTTTTTCAAGCCTCTTTCCAGGATGCTCTAAGCCAACCCTTCATTCAAAGAATTTGGCCAACGAAAGCTGCCAGGTATCAAGAGAGTAGCCACAAAGGGTTTTCATTGTGAAGGAGGCCGAGAGGGATGCAACCTGCAAACCCTTGTCGCTTCGGGTTAACCAATTTATGCTATTATTTCCTTCTTCCCCTGACCGATCTACAAATTAAAACGTGTGTCCTTCTAGCTGCATTTTTTGCCCCTGCTGGAAAATCCTCCCATACTTCCATTTCAAGGAGGAAATATGGCACGTTCTTCCTTGCGCTGTTAGTGATTTACAAAGAACACAGCTGACGGGGGTTCCACAAAGGACCCTGAATTTATCTTAAAGGGTCAAAATGTCCTCCTACTGCATTTCCCCCCAATAAAGCTCGCCAATTTAAATTTAGGGGGGGAAAAGAATGAGAAAAAATCCCATCTCTAGAACAAACAATATTAGCTATCTTTCCTGCTGAAGATGCTCTTTTTATCCAACAGGACTAGCAACCTCTGGACAGATCTAGCATCAGCAGCCCCTTATCTCGCCATGATCTGGTGGCTTCAGCACAGAACTCAAATTCTAATTCACAGAAGTTGCAACTTGGTTCAACGGCCTCCACAGTTCTGCCAAAGAAAAGAAGAATGCTCCCTCAAAAGAGCATTCTTTTTTCTAAAAAGAGCTATTCATCCAGAATGCATGTAAGAGAAAACTCTTCAACAGCGGCTAGAGAGAAGTGATTTAAAAAGAAAATTCCAAAATCTGTTGTGCTAGCAAGGCAGCTGTTTCATCAAATAACCTGGACTCGAACAGAGGACACGGAATGTTTGTCATCCGTCTCAGCTATTTTATGATCTGGAAAGAAAAAAAGTGGCACCTGTTTTATCAGCAGCAAGTAGTTCTGAAAGCAAATTCAACGTCTCTCCTGTGATCAGGAGGCACCCAGATAACTGGTTACATGGCCAACCAAAAATAATAATAATAATACGGCCATGGTATGGATGATAAATATGGCACAGAATCAAAGGATAGCTCCAGACTGATCACTGAGATCATGTAGAAATATGAAGATCACTTTCACTGACAAGAGCCAAATAAGAAACCCGCCCTAGCTAATTCTTGGCTTTAAAAAAAAATAATAAAACTCAATATTCACTATTTAAAACAGTCATGCGTATCTCCCTGTAAGTTTTATGATCCTATTATGGAAGGAATCCTGAACAACTGTCACCTATAGGCATAGACACACACAAACACACACAAATACACTGTGGCTATGCTATTCATCTAGAAATTTCACTGCAGGTATGTCTGTTAAAATATGCCATGTTGAAGAGTAAACATCAAGATTCAGCACAGCAGAAGAAGACAACCTAGCTCCCCAGGGCCCAGCTGGGTTTTGACCATCTGGAATTTGGCCCAAGAAACACGGATGAAATGTCCCACTGGGCAGCATAGAAGGATAGAAATGTGACAGCTAAAGCATATTCACAGTTGAACATTTACAAAATGTCTCACCAGCTACAAATACAAAAAAAAACCCCAGATCTATAAAGTCCCCAAGCAGAAGGTAACTTCTCTGATCATGCCAAACTGCAGTGAGATTCAAGTTTTGGTCAACTGGAATGAAATATTCAAAACTACCTTTTGAAGTTCTTCATGCTGAATACCCACCCCATCCCATAACGTCCCACATTCAGGTGGAAAGGGCAGATAAGGTTGACTCTTAAGGCAAATTTTCTCTGCTTGAGGTATCAAAGGCTGCCCGACATGGGACTTGTAAGGCAATACAACTGGAGACCCTGGTGGGTTGGGACAAAAGAGTAACCGGGATATAATTCAGAACAACTATCACGGCTACAACTCCAAAAGCTGAAGATCCTGCTTCTACCTTTCTCCAATTTACTCCAATGCTGAAAAGACAATTATTCCTCAATATCCATGAAGGATAACTTTTGCAGCTTGGCTACTTTAGTCAAACCTGGCTAGTTTCATTTAATATTCCTGAATATATGTTGTTCTCCCCCAAGGATCTCCAAACACATTGGTTGCAGGGTCTTGCTAGATGGTGACTCATAGATGAAGAAAAGTTATGTTTTCTAGTGTCCTAGAAGGGGGAAGTTGATATATATGTGTGTGTGTGTGTGTGTGTGTGTGTGTGTGTGTACATAACATCGAATACATGTATGTACAATATGCAATACATTTACGTTAAGTATACCGTACTTTCCGGCGTATAAGACGACTTTCGCAAGCGTTAAAATCGGCGCCGAAGTCGGGGGTCACCTTATATGCCGAGTCATCTTATACGCCGGAAATAATGGTAGTTTCCGGCATGTAAGACAACTTTCTAGGCATGCGACTCGGCGCCGAAGTCGGTCGTCTTATACGCCGGGTCGCCTTATATGCCGGAATATACGGTACTTAACAATGACATAGAGTCCAACTCCAAATTGGCAGATTTTCTTGGTCAATGCCTTTAACGGAGACAAATCCATCTCCTAATCTCCAAATCTTAATCCAGCAATTAAGATGTTTTTCACCAATTAATTTAGAAGAACAACCTGGGAAGTGCCAGCAGGTATGGTGGCATCTGAGGAGGCTTCAGCTTAAACTTTCAGGAGCTTCAAGAAGGCAGTGTTTAGCAAGTAAATTGTAATTGTTCCCCATATGTTTAAACCAATTTCTACAACGCAACAACCTTCGCATTTGCACTGATAGAGAAGAAGCACCGAATACTATTCACACCCAAAGTCTACACGAGATAAAAAGAGGTTGTGTGCTGAAGGTAAAAGCTGCTGCGCAGAAGGAAAAACTCACTGAAGTCATGAGAACGTGGAACAGTGCTTTCCATCAGCCGTAGTCCATGATGTGACGGACATCTCAAACTCCAAAAGTCCAAGGTGGCAAGATCAGAAGTTGTACTCTAAGTCTACCTGTGGCTTTTTTTGTGTAAATAAGCCCACGTGTTTCGCCATCCTTGCCAGCTACAGGTAATCAAGACCCAGCAGAATAGTGGGAAAATACACTTCAAGTCATAATAGAAGAAAGAAACCGAAAACAATATAGGCGGTGTTCATCTCCAACCCCAAATACAATCACTGGTTCTCCTAGATCCTTCAACAAAGAAACCAGGATAGAGCCTCAAGATATTTTCTTAGCTGGGGATCGTAGTACATCCACACCGAGCTTAAAGAATGGGACAGCGTTATAGAAAAGGAGGTTTATGAGTTTTCCATGAAGCATAATCAAGACGGACTGGTGTCCCGATGCCCAGATTCTATACCAGGGGCCATAGAAAGGATCAGAAATAGCCGGGCACAGCATGTTGTTCAAGTTCACTTCAGTGATCTAGAAAAACAGGAGAAAGATTGGCTTTTAGAGAAAAAAAAATGGTCCTTGCACTGTCTTACAATTAGCCTACTTTTCTCAATGCCTCCAGTCCTTAAATATTTTATTTATTTATTAAATCCATACGTCGCCCTTCTCACTATCCAGAGTGACTATGAACCTGAAATATGTCAGATCTTTTTTGTCTCCTCCGGCACCCCAGTTTACACCCAAACAACACTCTCAAACAGATGTAATTTTGAAACTTTTTTTTTTTAAAACACACTATAGTTTCCTCTTGTTTAATCTACTCGGCTAGATGGTAAATCATTTAAAACAAGAATTCTTTTCTCCAAGCTACATCTTCTGGGGTTTTTTTTTCTTTCTTTACTTACCTGCTCAATTAGCATATTTTTTACTAAGCCCACCCATAGACCACCCAGAAAGAGAGAGAGAGAGATACAATCCATTTACGTAAATAGACTTACGAGTCCCAAGATCTGTAAAAAACTGAAGTGGTAGACAAACATCAACCCAGTGGAGAGCAAAGCCCACCAGAAATTCCACGCTGGCTCAGGAGTGTAAACACCTGTTAGAAGGAGAGAAAAAGAGAAAATGGTTTGGGGCTATTTCAAGGTGGGCACCCATTCTTTCTTTAATGAAGTAGCAATTTTCACCCTGAAAATCCGAGATTATTGCCATGCAAAACAGAAGCTAGCAGAAATGCCTACGTTGCAGACCAGACTGAAAGTCAAGGAAGAGAATTGCAAACATTTCAGTGCAGCGACACTGAAAAATAAGCGACTTTCACACTTTCATGCTTACAACCGTGGCAGCATCTCCAGGGTCCTGTGACCCAAATTTGGGCACTTGGCAACTGGCATGTATTTATGACGGTTGCAGCATCCCAAGATCCTGAGATCGCCCTTTGTCAATTTCCCATCCCAGCTGGCTTCCGACAAGCATAAGTCAACGGGGGAAGTCCGATTCGCTTAACAACCTCATGGTTCACTTAACAACCGCAGCGATTTGCTTAACTGTGGCAGAAAGGTCATAAAATGGGCACACAACTCACTTGACAACTGTCTTGCTTAGCGACGGAAATTTGGAACTCAGTTCTGGCGCTAAATCCAGGGCAATTTGTGGAGAATTCTTGCACTCCTAACTAATGACAATCTGATGCATCGAACTAGAAACAGTTAAACTAGAAACAATTAACTAGAAACAGTTAACAAGCCAAGGGAAAAAGCCAGCCAAATTCCTGACAACCTGGCCAGCCGGGAAAGAAATCTACATGTTTATTTTTCCAATTCCAATTTAATTCTGAGCTTTTGAATTTCAGCTGAGGAATGCTTTCTCTTCCCTCTTTGATGTCTCTCCGGTCAGAAATTCCTTCTCTGCAAACAGTGGAAAATCATTGAATGTTGACCAGTAACTACTCATCTGGGAAATGGACAAAAAGGTAGAGTGCCGGGAGGAGAGACGGTTGGGAAGAACTGAAATCACATTTTTTTTCCTTCCTAGCCTAACTCAACTTCTCCAGAGCGCCTCGTGAATCATTAGAGACAGTCCTCAACTTATAACCGTTTGTTTAACGACTAACTCAAAATTGCAACCAGGTTGAAAAATGTGACTTATGACCAATTCTTGCACTTACGACCACTGCATCATCCTTGGGGTCATCGGACCCAAATTTGGGCACTTTGCAACCGGCATGTATTTACAACGTATTTACAAATAATATACTACTTGAAAAACATGTCCCGCTTAAGCGAAAGAAATCTGAATTGGGTTACATGCAGTGGTGGGATTCAAATAGGGGAACAACCGGTTCTCTGTGTGGATGCCACTTCCAGAAGTCCATTCTGGGCCTGGGCAACAAAAAAAATTAGCTACCGGTTTTGCCGAACTGGTGTGAACCAGCTGAATCCCACCACTGGTTACATGTGATTGGTAAATGATGGCTTGTATTTAAGCTTTGCTGAGACTTTAATAGCAAATTTCAAGCTTTTAAAATATTAAGGGGGAAAACCCACAATTTCAAAAGAACATCCTACCAGATCAGACACTCAAGACATCTCAAAGGAATCCATGGGAGGTGGACAGGATCTGGAATCTACGTTCTTGGATCTTGCCAGCAAGATCCTGTCTGTCTGTCTGTTGTGTCTGTTTGTTTAGAAAACTTATATGGCTAAGGACTTATATTACTCACAATAGTTATGGGAACTATGAACCACTCCACTGTTGAGAGCCCTCCTGTAGATAGAGCCTAGAATCATAGCATTGGAAGGGATCATGGAGGTTATCTAGTCCAACCCCCTGCTCAGGCAGGAAACCCTATACCATTTCGGACAAATGGCTATCCAGTCTCTTCTTAAAAACCTCCAGTGTTGGAGCATTCACCGCTTCTGGAGGCAGGTAGTTCCACTGGGTAATTGTTCTCACTGTCAGGAAGTTTCTCCTTAGTTCTAGGTTGCTTCTCTCCTTGATCAGTTTCCATCCGTTGCTTCTTGTCTTGCCCTCAGGTGATTTGGACATATATTATATGGCTACCTATGCTAATCCTAGGGAAGTCACAACAACATGTTCCCCAGAGAAGGTCCTCAAGGCAATGTTAGTGGTGGCAACTAGGCTTTCATTCATTTGTTCTTCCTATTTAACAACATCTTTATCCCACCTTTGAAAAACATTAATGGAAGGTGAAGTTCAGGGTTTGCAGGCCACCGGTAGAGGGCAGCAGAAAGTTGCAGAAACCCAAAGGAGATGGCCCGTCTCCTTAAACAGGTTTGAAAGCTCTCCTGTTCTCCTGAACCAGGGGTGGGGAACCTTGGCCCTTTTATGGACTTCAACTCCCAGAATTCCTGAGCCAACCATGCTGAGGGGAAAGGGAGAGGTTTCCCAGCTGAGCCATGCTGGCTCAGGAATTCTGGGAGTTGAAGTCCACGAGTCATGAAAGAGCCAAGGTTCCCCACCCGTCCTGGCCAAAAAGCGGTTGGCCAACAAATGAAGAGGTACATTATGCAAAGTCATTGGGGCCCACTCACACACATCTACCATTTCTTGGGGGAGGGGGAGGAATTCAATTTATTGATGAATTTCCCTTTGTCCAGAAGACAGACATGAAATAATGGGTAGAAGCTTGTTTAAAAGGAGATTCAACCTAGAAGCAAGGAGAAATTTCATGACAGTCAGAAACAATTAATCGGTGGAATGATTTGCTTCCAGATGTTGTGGGTGCTCTTTCAATGGAAGTTTTTAAGAAGAAATTGGACAGTCGTTTGGTAGGAGGTTCCTGCCTTGAGTAGGGGGCTGGACTAGAAGACCTTGAAGGTCCCTTCCCGCCTTATGATTCCATGTTCTATGTTTTTAAACTGTGAAAAGTTTTGCTGATGTTTTGCGGGGCTGCTGAACTGGAAATGTAGGAGCCTTAGTAAGAACTGAGGAGCAAAATTAACATTCAGTGGCTTAATTAAGACAGCGACAGAGGTCCTGATTAGCTAGGAAGACAGCATATAATTAAAGGAGAAACCTACCTCCTTTCCGAAGCAGGTAGATGGGAACAACATAGAGCATGATATGTTGAATGTAATAAACTTCCATTTCAAAAGGTAGCTGCAAAAAAAAAAGAAAAAAGAAGGAACAGATTTATAAATAGAGACTGGCGTGCACACAGCTCAGAGTAATTCTCCCTGACTATGTGATCAACTTAAGATTCGATGTTGGGTCTGTTGTATTCAACATTGTGTGCTTCTAGAGCAGAGGTTCCCAACCTTTTGGGCTCCAGGGGCCGGTTCCATGGAAGAGATTTTTCCGAGCACGGGAGAGTGTGTGGCTTTGTGAGCTGCCTGCATCTCATGGATGGGGCTTTGCTTGTTTGTGTGGACAAGTTGCTGGCATACCGTAGCCCGGTACCCGTCCACAGACCAGGGGTTGGGGACGCCTGTTCTTGAGGAAAGACTATATTATTCATCAAGACAACTACACACCTATTTCCCAGGGTGTTCGACAGCTCAGATGAGCAGGCTTGACTTGACATGTTGCACCTATTACCTTTATGTTCCCCAAATACCTTTAACTCAGTGAAATTTCCTTATTGATGGTTCTGGGTATGATCATGAGCCATCTAGAACCCCTGCCCATGATCCCCCCAATTTCCCAACTATTTGGGAAATATTGAACCCTCACCCACTTTCTCTAGGGAGGGGCTACTAACCCAAGAGCCATTGCAAAGGAATGATTCGTCTTGGCCAGTGATACTTTTGCAGAGAGACAACTCTGCAAGAATCAGAATCGGAATAACAGAGTTGGAAGGAACCTTGTAGGTCAACTAGTCCATTATTATTATTATTATTGTGGATCATTGCAGTCAGCCAGATGTTCAGACTGGATTTGGCATTTTGTCTTACCAAGGACCTAGGATAGATAGATGTGGATGTTTGATGTTATTACAGATGGAGGATGATGATGATGATGATCATTATCATTATTATTATTACGATGTGAACCTCAGTCAACTGAACATTCAAATTGACTGGCACTGACAGTTGACACAGGTTGCTGCCAGCATCCTAGCTATCAACCAGGTACCTCCTTAAAATGTAAGATGTTCTGGCAACTCCTGGTATAGCAATATCCATCAGCTGTACGCTTCGGTTTTCTACAACTGCGATATCTGGCATGTTGTGTTCCAAATGGCGATCTGTCTGTATTCAAAAGTCCCACAAGATCTTCACCCTCTCATTCTCAACAACTTTTTCCACCCTATGTTCCCACGACTTTTCGGACACAAGCAAGTCGTATTTTTTACACAATGCCCAGCGGATTAATTTAGCAACTCGGTCATGTCTAGCTTTGTAGTCAGTTTGCGTGATTTTGCTGCACTCACATATTAGATGTGAATTTTGTCATTGCAAAGTCGGCAATTTGGATTGTCAGTGGATTTTTGTATCTTCGCTTTCATGGCATTAGTTTGTAGTGCTTGTTCTTGAGCAGCCAGTATTAAGCCTTCCTGTATTATTATTATTATTATTATTATTATTATTATTATTATTATTATTATTAATCATCACAGTCAGCCAGATGTTCAGACTGAATTTGGCATTTTTGTCTACTTATCGAGTCCTTCCCAAGGACCTGGGATAGGCGATGTGGATGTTTGATAGTATTACAGATATTGTTGCAGGATGGAAGCAGTTCCTAGTAAGGCCGCCTTTTGCAATTGACTAATGGTGAATTTGTCAACGCCAATGGTGTTCAAGTGGTGCTCCAGCTGTTTTGGGATTGCACCCAAGGCGCCTATGACTATTGGTACTACCCTTGCTTGCTTTTGCCACAGTCTTTCTATTTCTATTTGTAGGTCTTTGTATTTTGTTTTCTCCAGTTCTTTCTCGTCTATTCTGCTCTCTCCAGACACTGCCACATCCACTATCCAGCCATTGTTGTTGTTGTTGTTATTAGTGGTTATAAGGGTTAGGGTTAGGGTACAGGTAGTCCTTAACTTATAGCCACAACTGAGCCCAGAATTTTGGACATAACTCATTACGGTCCTTAAGAAGATCCCCAGGTGATCTGACTTGATTTCACAATCGGTTTTACAATGGTTGTTAAGCACCGTGGTCACTATGTGAACCAGTGGTCATTAAGCAAATCCAGCATTTCCAGTGGTCGCAAAAAGACAAAAAAGTCACCAATCCAAATCACAGAACCATAGGATGCGACAACCAGTCACAAACGTAAGCGGTTGCCAAGAACCCCAAATGTGATCACATGACTGTGGGGAGGTGCGGCAGTTGTAACTCCGACTCTCATAACTTCAAACAGTCGTTAAAGACTGGTGGTTAACCGGGGACTTCTTGTATTTAGGCCACCAGATTCCTTGATAAAACCAAAATCAAGAACTGCCAACACCCTTGATAAATCAGATTGGTAACGTGTGAAGCAACAGCCCTGGCTGAGATCAAACGAAAAGAAAGATGACACCATTAACAGACTTGGCTTATTATGACACTTTCACATGAGACTTATTACCTGGATCAGATATTGGCAACACAAATATTGTGACATGACCAAGCCTCACCACATCCAAATTAGAAGCATTAGATTGGATTCAAGAAAACAACTCAACTATTTTACAATGACCCAACAGTATGCATAGCTAGCCAGGGCAGGGGTCTTCAAACATGACCGTTTTATGACTTGTGGACTTCAACTCCCAGAATTCCTCAGCCAGGCACGCTTGGACATTAATTATTGGGACTGTTGGGTTTTTTTCCTGGTGCTGTTAATCCTCACATGCCACCCGGAACTATTGCCAAAGGATGAGTGGCCAAAGAAATGAAATGTAATAAATCAGTAAATAAACAGTGCAAGCTTTTTTTAAAAAAAAAAGGAAAGAAAGCATTAAAAGGCTATTTATCTTGAGGTCCATCCAGCCCGGTATTACAGAATCTTGGCATGGGGATCCCTGTGCGACTCAGCCCAGGTCTGTCTTTAACTGGTGAAACCTGTTGGGTGACTTCAGACCAGGGGTCTTCAAACGTGGCCCTTTTATGACTTGTGGACTTCAACTCCCAGAATTCCTCAGCCAGGCACGCGTGCCTGGCTGAGGAATTCTGGGAGTTGAAGTCCACAAGTCATAAAAGGGCCACGTTTGAAGACCCCTGCTTTAGACCAATCTGCACCTACCCACCTCAGCCCAACTGATCTTCCCGGATAGTTGCTATGGGGAAAATTGCACAATAATATGTAACTTACCTGGACACAGTGAATGAAAAAAGAAAAAGGAGAGAAAGCTAGCAAATAAAGCAAGCAAGAAAATACATAAACAAAGGACAGGTTGCTCGAGAAAGCAGCACGGATCACTGCTTTGCATTCTTAAGAGTTTAAATCAGTTTATTTCCCATACTTGGCAACCTCAAGATGTGTGGACTTCACCTTCCTGGTGAAGTTGCCGCATTTGAAAAAAAAAACACTGCTCTAAATCTTCAGAAGCTGCAAACAAACAAAAACACCCATCGAAACTGTTGTGTTTGCTGAACAAACAGGTTTCCTCCAATGCAGTATTATGCAATTCTGAATTCTTGGCCAAAAGAAAGGACTTTTGTGCTTTTGTATACATTCAGAGGATTAAAAATGATAATAACCACCACAAAGAATTCCTGTATTTTGTCAGCTCTCCGTAACCACCCAACCATACAGGAATCTCAGTTTGTGCCAAACGAAAAGGAGTGGAAATGACAGCTGCTACTGATTGTTGGCCCAAGAACTTTATTTCACAACGTTGACCCTTCTTAGCAGGAAGGTGATGTCAACATTTTTCAGAGAAATTCTGAACAAAAGATTGCACACTAACCGGCATCTCGGCTCTGCTCAGCCACGCCTTAGCTAGCATTTAAGTAACATGCGCTTGATTTATATGCTAAGTCCTATCCTAAATAGTTAGTAGGACACGTTGCCCAAGAGAGGTTTCGATGTTATGTTTAGAAGAATATTTGGCCACAGAAAAGCCTGAATTTGAGCATCGTATTGAGATTCTCAATCATCCAGATCATGGTTGTCCCAAAAGAGCTTTTTCCAAAAAGGCAACTCAACTTTCTTGTTGTTGTTGTTTTTCCTTGAAAACGTTTCATCTCTCATCCAAGAAGCTTCTTCCGTTCTGAAGAAGAAAGAAACTGAACAAGCTTCTGGGATGAGTTGTGAAACGTTTTCAAGGGGGAAAAAAAAAACAAGAAAGTTCAGTTGCCTTTTGGAAAAGCATCTTTGCGACAACTGGAATTTGAGCTTCTTCTATTCCTCATCCCCCAAAGAGCTAAGCTGGCTGGGTAATTCTGGGAGTTGAAGCCCACAGGTCTTAAATCTGCTAAGGTTGAAAAAGACTGTCCAAGTTTAAGCAGTTCCCACCAGATATTTAGAGACTGAAGTTAGTGCGCTCTAGCGTTACAGAAAATCAATAGATATTTCTCAGTGGCGTGCTTACTTTCAATAGGACTTCATCTTTCCTAGAATTCAGATTCTACCCTTCAAGGTGGGACTTTATATTGGGTATATACAAGACACTAAACCTCATGATAGTTTGGCTTAATAATAATAATAGAGTTGGAAGGGACCTTGGAGGTCATCTAGTCCAACCCCCTGCTCAGACAGGAAACCCTATACCATTTCAGACAAATGGCTGTCCAGTCTCTTCTTAAAAACTTCCAGTGTTGGAGCATTCACCGCTTCTGGAGGCAGGTTGTTCCACTGGTTAATTGTTCTGACTGTCAGGAAGTTTCTCCTTAGTTCTAGGTTGCTTCTCTCCTTGATTCGTTTCCATCCGTTGCTTCTTGTCCTGCCCTCAGGCGCTTTGGAGAATAGCTTGACTCCCTCTTCTTTGTGGCAGCCCCTGAGATATTGGAATACTGCTATCATGTCCCCCCTTGTCCTTCTCTTTGTCAGACTAGACATACCCAATTCCAGCAGCCGTTCCTCGTATGTTTTAGCCTCCAGTCCCCTAATCATCTTTGTTGCTCTTCTTTGCACTCTTTAGAGTCTTAAATATTTGGAAAACCCATCCAGTGTAGTTTGTAAGTCTTAGGCTCAAGATTTCCAAGGGCCAGGAGAATTTGCTGCATCTGGAAATGTCGGAGGACTGCAGATGCCAAATGTGGCTAATATTTCATTTGAGCAACACTTCCTACTGTTGAAAGCATTGGTAAGCTTTTTAAAATACAAACAGCCCAAGTAGAAATATAAGTTTGCTCTCGTCTGTGCAAGAAGCTTCTGAACGGACTTTCTTATGCAAAGCAGACGGCGGGTAAAACATCGGCTTCCATAACCAGGGAGGATTTTGGCTCTAATTAAAGCCATTCCACAGGAAAAGTGGGATTAGGAAGAAAGGCATGGGCGTTGATCCAGCTCGTGCTTTATTTGAGACGATTTGGGGAGATTAAGCAGCTAAATTACCCAGGCGAATCTTTACAAGACAGGACTGCCACGTGCCTGCTCTTCAAACCAATTTTATGTTTTTGATTCTGCATTTCCTGTGGTTGGTGCAAAGGCAGAATATCATCCAAGCCGATTCCAAAGCAGATAAAACAGCCTTCTTACAAATTGGTGTCCTGTCTATGCTCTGGGAGACGGTCATCCCAAAACAGCTAGTCGTCATTTAATGACGGTAATATGGACCGGAATTTGCCTTGTTAAGCGATGCAGTCATAAAGCGTGACATCACGGGATCACACCACCTAGCCACACAACTCCTGAGTTTGGTCCATTCCACACTATCATTGAAGTCTAATGACAGTTAGAACAATCAACCAGTAGAACGGCTGGCCTTCAGAAGTTGTGGGCGCTCCATCACTGGAGGTTTTTAAGAAGAGACTGGACAACCATTGATCTGAAATGGCATAGGGCCTCCTGCTTGAGCAGGGGGTTGGACTAGAAGACCTCCAAGGTCCCTTCCAGCTCTGTTATTCTGTTAATATTGTGTGAAGACTTGAGTAAGAAAGCAAAATAAAAAAGGCTGACTGAGATAAACCACCATAGGATTACCCTGGTTGGACCAGAGATAAATCAGATCAACATAGTGATAAGGATCAACGGATGACAACAACGGCACTTTGTTTTTGAATAGGCATTCTTCCATCCAGGGCCTGACTGTCACACCACTTTAATTATTGTGATAACAGATCAACATCATGCTCTGTTCTGCAATGAAGCATAATACTCCACATTTTAACGAGTGGACCTCAACTTTGACACAATAATGTTCACCCCCTCCCAAAACAACTAATGCGGAAGGGACACATCACAATTTCTAAAATCAAAGCCAGGCTAATCTTTGCTGTATTGTTCCAATGGGTGTGTGGGTTTGTGGATGGGGAAATGGATGGAGAGAGAGAGAGAGAGACAGATGGTGAATCGGGCTTATTGACCCATAATAAAGTTTGACTATGACTACAATCAGAGCCAGCAGTTTAAGGGAGAACACATCATGCTTAAAGTACACAGTATAGAATTAATTATAAGTTATAACCAGACAGCCGGGGGTATGACTATTAGGTCACAGTGTTGTGTTTTAAGCCAAGAGATCACAAAGACTGCTGTTGTGGAAGAATTAGCCGACTCTATGGCATTGCCCGGGGAAACCCGAGTTTAGACTTCTATGCTCTTCCCAGAGGCTAATTTCTTAATTTGAATTTGGAATTTGCAAATTTGCCTTGTGGATGTTGGTGTCCTGGTCTCTCTCAGTCTTGGGATGAAAGATTAGGACCCAAAGTGAAGATCCAGTTAAACTAATTTACTGCTAAACAGCCTACGCGCAGGAATATTCTCAACTAAAAGTTGGCATTTGCTAGAAATTAAATAGGGGTTGATGGAAATCAAAAGGGAGTTGGATTTAGTTCACTTGTGGCTACGTAAGGATTTTAGGCTGATTCCTCTTTTAACTCCGCCCCCAGGTTCTGCCACTCCTTCTCCTACAAGCAGGACAGTCAGAGAAAGACCTTGTAAAGAATTTTGTGAGAGCATTCTTGCAACTGTTTTATCACTTTGCACAAAAGATAAAGCACCAAAAGCCAATTAAAAAAACAACACCCCATATTAGCAAAAAAAAAAAAAAATACTCCAAGCTGTGCATTAAATTTAATGGTAGATAATAAAAAAATAAACTACTCTGAAGCACCTCAGATAACCCTGGAAATGTAAGCCAATATTTGATGCATACAGGAAGGTCCTTAGTGGAAAAGGAGTTATTTGCATTGACAGCTTTTTAGTGTTAATGACTCTGTAAGGTCAAAGATCCTCAACTTCGGAGATAAGGCGAGCTGCCAATTGGTGTAATTGTCCCATGTGCACAGCTTTTTGCTTGATGTGCTCTTTTACCTGGACTCATTGAAAAAAAAGCAAGCAAGCAAGCAAGGTTTGATGGAGACAGCACTGCTGGGTCACATGCAAGGAATCGCTCTATCAAAATTAAACCTGTCACTCGTGGTTTTGTAAGAGGGGTGAACTCCCTTCCTTTCGAGTAGCAAGCTGAGATTAACTCACCAATCGAGTGTTGACCACAGGAAACAGGAGAGCGAGAAAGGCCCCATTCAGCATGTGCATTTGCAACCTGCCAAAAGAAAAAACAAACGACACCTTTGCAGCATAAGAATGTCTGTTGGAGGCGATTCACAACAGTTGCCGCCGGTTCTAAAAGAAGGTTGAACCACGGACTGCCATTAGAAGAACAGTCTGAAGGACCATCGGTAGACCATCTTCTTTACAACGATCAACTTGAAACCCTGCCCAAGGTCACCCAGCTGGCTTTGTGACATGGGTGGGACTAGAACTCAGTTTCCTGGTTTATGGCCTGGTGACTTAACCAGCAGCCCAACTGGTTCTTTTTTATTATTATATACTGTTATTATTCCTACCAGTTTTCTTGGCAAGATTTCAGAAGTGGTTTGTCATCGTCTGCTTTCTAGGGTGAAGAGAGAGCGACTGGCCCAACATCATCCATCTGGCTTTGTGACTATCATGGGATTAGAACTCACAGTCTCCTGGTGGGTAGCCTGGTGCCTTCACCGATATTCAAATTGACTCTTATTATATGTTGTTGTTATTATATTGTTATGTATGGGTTGGGTAGATATATGCTTTCTTTTGAGAGCAGGCAACAGAATTTCATTTTCAATGTGTGTCAGTGTGCTCACAGGAAAAAATGACAATAAAGGTTATCTTATCATCTTATCTTATCTTATTTCTGCCAGTTTTCTTGGCAAAATTTCGGAAATGGTTTGCCGTTGAGAGAAGGACTGGCTCATGGTAACCCATCTAGCCCAAGGCAGAACTAGCACTCACAGTCTCCCGGTTGGTAGCCTAGTACCTTAACCTCTACAACTGTTCTTTTCCTCACCACCTGCTGGCTTACAAATTCAAGTCCAGATGCAAACTTTTATTGGCTCAGTTCAATCGTCTCCTTCTTAAATGACTGAGACAAAAACGGCCCAGGCACTTCCATTAGGAGTCCTTCTAAGAACACCATTAAAAGTCCACCAAAGTGCAGAGGAATTTAGATCCGCCCTTGGGATGTGGGCGGGATAGGTAACGTGGCTACTCAGGACCATCCTTCCTTGACCTTCTCGTCCTCTAAGAGTATACAGTGAAGATGTGAAGAGCTTTCAAGATTCATTAATGGCCCTATAACAATAAACAATAAAACGACATTCCTGGAATCCCAGCCTGCCTGTGGCTTGATCTGGCCTACTTCCAAGGGCTGACATTAGGGCGGCATTGCACAACCTTGGCAATTTTAAGATGGTGGACTTCAACTCCCAGGATCCAAGGCTGAGGAACACTGCATTGGGGCCACCCTCTAACTTCATCTCCTCCTCTTAAAGACCACATCCTTTATTTCCAAGGCTCGGTTAGCAAGTTGGCTTCTTAAAGAACAGCCCTTTCTCAGGAAGGAACGAAGTTATATGCCAAGGGCCTAGAACAGGGGTGTCAAACTCAATTTCATTGAGGGCCGCATCAGCATTGTGGTTGCCCTTGGGGGGCCGGATGGGTGTGGCCAAGGGTGGGCGTGGCCTACTGGGTGTGGCCTACTGGGTGGGCATGGCCAGCTCTACATGGTTCGCGTCAAGGGTGCCTGTGGGGGGCCTGGGCAGGAGTGGGAGAGATCTGAGGGTCTCTGGCAGAAGGCGGTGGGACGAGGGCAAGTGCCAAGGCATGGTCCACTGGAGGAGCCTCACTGCCTGTTGAAACCCTTCCGCCGGAGCCCATCAAGCTGGATATGTGAAGTAGGCGAGGGCTATTTGCTGGCCACTTCCAGGCAATGGTGCATTTCTTCATTCCTCACAACGGGTGACACCTCCCCAGCATGCACCCAGGAGGTGGGGCCGACGCGGCAGGGGCTGGTTCCTCGCTGTTTCCAGACAGTCTTGTGGAGCTAGGACTGAATGTGTTTCAGCATAGATGGCCACCACAAAATTGTACATTGGCTCCCGGCCGGCTTGGGCCAGGACCAAAGCAGGGGGGGCCGTTTCCTCACTGTTTCCAGGATGGCTTCGTGGGCCGCATGAAACCACTTCGCGGGCTGCATCTGGCCCCCGGGCCTTGTGTTTGACATGTCTGGCCTAGAAAGAGTGCAGAGAAGAGCAACAAAAGTGATAAGGGATCTGGAGGCTAAACTGTACGATGGATATACGGCTAAGAAAACTATGTGGCTTGGGGGGCACTTTTTTCAGTGCTATTGTAACTTCGAACAGTCACTAAGTGAACTGTTGTAAGTCGAGGACTACTTGTACTTTATCACTTTTTTCCTTTTTTTTTTTTTTTTTTTGCTCATCAAGTTTTTGACACCTTGCTAGAGGACTGGTGGCATTTGGATATTGCCATATCCTAAAAGTGGTACAATGGGTCAAAAGGTTGAAAAGCCCTAATGTAGACAACCAGGCCACAGGAGCGGTCATCATTTAAACGATCTACTTGTGGTAACTCACTTACCTGAATAGAATCATGGTGAAATGGCAGGGTGGACAAGCCAGTAGAAAAATCTGACATTTAAACAAACAAACAAAAAAAGAGGGAGTTAACACCATGGTCTTTTTATTTATCTGCATCTTTACGTAGACACAGAGAGACAGAGAGCGCGCGCATGAAAGAAATAACTCACATTTATCACTCGATCGGGCGTTTAAAGCTTGCAATGATTACTGTTCAAATCAGGGGCTCTTCAAACTTGGCCCTTTTATGACTTGTGGACTTCAACTCCCAGAATTCCTCAGCCAGGCACAGAGCCTATGGGTCAAGATTCCTGGCTGATTCTAAGCTGGAGCCCCAGGGCTAAAACTGAATTGGTAACTCGACCACCTTTACAGACCAAGGCGAATCCAAAGGGAAAATCCTCGCTTCTCCTGCCCATGAAACCAACACGGTATCATGACACCCACCCCTTTGGAAAACTGCAAAAAATGTCATTTTTCTAGCTATCAAGTCAGTGTTGCAGTCAAAGTTGTTTGGAGCTGCTTGTTATCAGAGACTCAACTGTGTTGTGTTTTTTTTTTTTTTTTTTTTGCCAAGGTTGATAAGTGACAGGAGGAATGGTAAGAAAGAACACAACCCAACAAGTCCAGGAAACCAAACATGCCACAATTATGTGTGTACTTTTAGGGTGGAGGCAAACAATTGAGAGTGAGCCTTACCAAAAAAACGGATGCTGGTTCTAACTTGAACACTTTGAGTGATGCAAAAAGGATAATACTGGACCTATACAAAAGAATATTTGTAGTTCACTAGTGGACTGTGCTTTTTTCTCAGCTGGGTGGTTTTCTTGCAAACATTTCATGACCTAACTAGGTAACATTATCTGTGCTAGAAGGGTTGGAGGATAGGAGGAGGAGGAGGAGGAGGTGGCTGCTTGCAGATATCTTTACCAAGCTAGGTAACATCATCAGTGCTACAACTCCACTCCCTTCTTGCACTGATGATGTTACCTAGTTTGGTAATGAAACATCTGCAGAAAATCACCAAGCTCAGAAAGCACTAAGGACTCCAGGGATAATACCGTATTACGAATAGAAACGGTGCTGGTTGAAAGAAGCATTTGCCCAAGCCAACTGAACCTTAAAGGCATTTCATGGTAATTCTGGCATTTTTACACCACAACACAGAATGGTTAGTGTACCTGAGGAAGTAACAATAGACACAGAACTTGGTGGTTTTGTGACAAAAAAAAGAGAGACAGAAAAAAAAAAATTCTGCTCACTTTGACCACAGCTTCTCTATTACCTTGCAGGTAGTTATAAAACCACGGAGAAGGTGCTTGGCCAAGAGAATGGAGACTCAGATTCTGCAGCAGACCCGGGGGGTGTGTGTGTCTCTGGGCCAATGCAAAATGCACGATTGTGGTCGTGTAGAAAAAATAGAGACTCCAGCTCCTTAAGGAAAGGAGCCGGTGAGAAACTAAATAAGCATGCAAACCATCATTGTTTGGGCTGTCACCACTTGCTAAATCCCAATCCAGTGAGCAAGCCACAGTGGATGGGATCCGTGCAGTTGACTCAACCGGACTGAATGAATCACTTCTAGCGAAGGGCAAAGTCTGCACGAGCTTCACTCTAAATATGCAAAACGTTCCATCGGTTCAGCTAAGTTCAGCGGGAAAAAGCCCCTGTTAAGCCAGAGTAAGAACTTGCTGTTGAAGCTTGCAAGATTCGATCTTCTCCCCTATCCTAGTGGTGTGGTTCGCGTTTTAGGTTAAGCCACTTATATTTAACAAACAGGTGTGATAGCTCTTCACACCCCAGTCAGCTCTGCTTGGATATGACAAGAGAACACGCCCATATCTGGCTAGGGATAAGAGTGCCAAGGGTTTCTGAAGGCTGGCTGGCTTAACCCTTAGTACAGGTAATCTTCGACTTACAACCCATTCATTTAGCGACCATTCACAGTTACCATGGCGCTGAAAAAAGGTGGCTCACGGCCACTCCTTGGCCTTAACTCCCGGCAATCAACATTCGGTTGCTTGGCAACTGACACGGATTTTCGACAGCCCCAGGATCGTGTGATCACCATGATCCCAGTCAGCTTCTGGCCAGCAAAGTCAATGGGCAGAGCCGGATTCATGCAAAGACCTCGTGATTCGCTTAACACGCAATTCGCTGAACAACCACAGCAAAAAAAGTGGTAAAACTGGGCGCAATTCGTTTTCAGCAACTCCTTGGAATTAGCCGCAGAAATTCTGCTCTCGGTTGGGATCCTAAGCTGGGGACCACGTGTAATGGAAGCACAAAGCCCTGCTCTTTCCTACTGTGCGGCATGAATGCTGTTTCGTAGCAGCAGCTACACTTCGGCCCCATGGAGAGGCCGTGAAACTCCCCAGCAGAAGTTGCAAATGCACTTCCTGTTCCTTGTAACCCTTTAAAACGGTGTCCCCCCAAAGCTGGGAGGATGATTTGAAGCTTTGCAATGAAGACCCTGCAAAATCAGGCAGCTGAAATGTGGACAAGGGGATGATGATGGTCAGAAGCAGGACCAGGAGGTTCCCAGGACACCGAACTGCAAACTTTCTGCCCCGCTGCTGCAAGACGTAAACCCATCTTTCTACCCTGTTGCCTTAAACCTACTCCTCTAGGTAAGATCTACTGCCTAGCTGGCATTGCCCTGCCCGCTGTTTGCAGAGAAGCAGCAGCATGCAGAGAGACGCTCAGATCATGAATATCTGGTCGTTGAGATAATGTTGAGAGTCTAGAAAGAGTGCGGAGAAGAGCAATAAAGATGATTAGGGGGCTGGAGGCTAAAACTTACAAGGAACAGCTGCTGGAATTAGATATGTCTAGTTTAACGAAGAGAAGGATGAGGGGGGACATGATAGCAGTGTTCCAGTATCTCAGGGGCTGCCCCAAAGAAGAGGGAGTCAAGCTTTTCTCCAAAGTACCTGAAGGCAGGACAAGAAGCAACGGATGGAAACTGATTATGATGCTGTTTTTTTCCAACAGCTCTGGACTGTCAAAGGCCTGATGCGAATTAATATAGAAGCTAGAAATTGAGTGTGTTGTCACCACCTCCTCCTCATCATCATCATCATCAACAACAACAACAACACAAAGAGAATCTGATGCGGAACAGGGGCCACTTCTATCCCAAACCGCAATGCCAGCCAAGGTAAAGAAAAACCACTTAATTCTTCTCCCCTTAAAATAGCACTGGATTCAGCAGAAGCAAGCTCTCTGTGGCTGCTAAGTCGGAAATTATTTAAGGCTGTCACTTGATTAGGACATTTATGGCTTTTAACAGCCAAGGTGGCTTTCCACTGTGGGATAGAAATTAAAAATCCGGCATCTGTGATGCGGCTTTTCTACAAGCAATTAATCCTCTGTTTGCAGATTCCTCGTCTTGAACACCCATGTGGGACATGCTTCTATATATATATATATATAAAACAGTAAATCACCTCCAGATGTTCTCACACATACAAGCTGTCGCTTAGAGTTTTTGTCAAGGGAAAGAAGGCCAGGTATCACTTATTTGAGGCTGGCATTTGCAAGGCGCGATGTACCTGTAAATTAATTTTTACTTTTGCCTTTTTTTTGCAAAATAACCCAACTGCATTTCTCCAAAGCAAATAACAAGGAATTATTTTAAAATGTCAGAGCAGAGCAAGTTCTCTATTTTTTTTAAACATTTTTGGTGGCAACTCCAGTGACTGGGTGCTTTGCATAAAGCAGAACTTTCCCCCCACACACACCACCCAAAAAAAAGGGGAAACGACAGCTGCACGCTTAGAAAAATATCCTGTGCATCATCTTCCTTTCTCCAATCTGATTTCTCAATATTAGTCTCCTATAGCAGATGGTATACAGATAGTCCTCAACTTACGAACTCAGCTGAGCCCAACATTTCTGCCGCTCTGTGAGACAGCGGTTGTGAATTTTGCCCCATTTTATGACCTTTCCTGCCAGAGTGGTTAAGTGAATCACTGCAGTTGTTAGATTAGTGACACGGCTTCCCCATTGACTTTGCTTGCCGGAAAGTCGCAAAAGGTGACATCAGGACACTGAAACCGTCATAAATATGAGTCCCTCGTATTTATGCCAAACATCTGGATTTTGATCACGTGACCACACGGATGTTGCGACGGCCGTAAGTGTGGAAAAAAGGCCACGAGTCCCTTTTTTCAGTGTTGCTGTAACTTTCAGTGGTCACTAAATGAACTGTCATAAGTCGAGGAGTACCTGCCTAAGATTGAGGATTGAGAAAAATGAAGAAAAAAGAAAAGGCCTGGCTGCAATTCGTTGGGGTGCAGGGTACAATAATCTCGTAGACTTCAGTTCTGAGAGATTTCACAAGGCGGTTGTGTCATGAAGGATAGGCAATGGAAGTTAGTATTTCATTAAAAAGTTAATTAAAATGGATCGAGGACAGACACCTCCCTGCCCAACAAAGCCAACAAGAATCAAATTAAAACTTCTCCCAATGTCTTGGAAGCAGATCGCATCTTGCAAGGTGTATTTATTTATTGATTCATTGAATTCATAGAGGGTTACTCCATGCTATGATCTAATTAGATTTCAGTGATCTAATGCAAGACTTTATCTGTTAGCTCAAGAAATTAAAATATATGGAGCCCTGGAAGCTTCTTGTGCAAGTTGGCATGTATTTACAACAGTTGCCACATCCCAGGGTCAGGTGATCCCCATCTGCAACCTTCCCAGGTAACTTCCAACAAGCAAAGTCAACGGGGAAGCTGGATTCGCTTAACAGTGACTTGCTTAACCACTCTGCCAAAAGGTCGTAAAACTGAGCATGAACATTTTAACAACCGCAGGGGTTTGCTTACCAACCATCGCAAAAGAGGTCGTAAAATTATTTAAGACTGACTTCACAACTACCTTGCTTAGCAATGGAAATTCTAGTATCAATTGTGGTTGTTACATCCAGGATTTCCTGTGCGGAGGGGGGCTTTCTCAATCTTACAGGGTTATTCCCCCACCTGAGAGGCTTTCACTGGCCTCCCTCTTTGCAAAAGGGGGCCAAACCCCAAATTTCACTCCAT